AAAACATTTTGAATGTTGACAACGCAAAAATCACATCAACCACAATAAAACGACAATATTTATTCTAAACGAAAAATAATTTTTCTTTCTCCATGCATAACCGTGCATAGAAACATAAAAAACAATCGTCGACATGAATTGGACGAACGAAATGAGTGGACGAGAAAAAAAACTTTGATAAAACTCTAATAATTAGTCTAAATGTTGTATAATTTGTAATCAATTTTCGAGGTTATATTTACTGTAATTTAATTTGATATTACCAACGAAAGTTGATCGTCGCAATACATGCAATGTATGTTTGTAATACGCAATACATGCAATTAATTCTTTCTCTTTATTTCTCTCTCTTTCCTTCTCTTCTGCTCTCTCTCTCCCCCCCCCCCCCTTGGATAAAAATCTGTTTTTGATAGGTTTTCCTTCTTCCCACTTTATATGAATGGTGGCAGCGACGTCAGTAAAATAGTATTAGAAAAATGGAGCCAAGTAGCCCGAAAACTGACTAATACATAGCATTGGAGGACAAAGTTAAGGAAAAAAAACCATTGAGAGATAGAAACATTGTTGAAATGGTTATTTCATCAAATGTAATTTATTTGCTTAACTGCGCGTTGATTCTAACCCCATGGTCTATCAATTGTATGTACGAAAAAAAAAATTGTATGTGTCGTTTTTCTATGCTATTTTTTCTCTTCGTTCGAGCGGCATGTTAACATGCCTATCGGACGCACTGGCGCCATTCATTTGTACCGTTCTTGTGTATGTATACTATATAAAACTGAATAAAAAAAATCCATCGTAGTCATATATAATACATACAACAAGTTAACAGCTAAGTCATTATGACTATTTCGTCTATGATATTGTTATTATTTGGATAGCTAAAGCATGGCCAAGCATGTATGCATACACAGGGTAAGGAGAATGCGATCGCGCGTCCATTTACTATTTGCAGCATGAAATGCACTTAGTAATAATTCATAAAATTAGTAATAACAATAATAATAATGGCATGGACAGTGAATGTTTTGTATGACAAAGAGTGAGAGAGCGACAGAATATTAAAAGGAATAAAACGTTTCAAAACGAGAAAGAAAAACAACTTTTCATAAATTAGACAGAGAAAGAACAATGAATGAGTGAGTTGTAATGAAAATGATAAATGTATGACATGAACTCTTAAACGAGAACGAACGAATTAAGCTTTTGTTATCGTCGCTTGTATCTTGGAACAATTTTCGCTCGTTCACTCGCTTCTATATGTATGTCACACATTCGTTCGTTTGTTCCGTTCATTCATTTGTTCGGTTGCGTTGTTATTCTTATATACGCGTAAGAGTAATTTTATTTTCGTCCAATTAAAGAAATATTTGTTGACATATTTAGCTAAACATCGACCATTCAAACGGGTAACCATTTTACTAAATTATGCATGACCAATGATGATGGCGACGACGAGGACGACAACGATGATGTCGAAAAAGTGTGTACACACAACGACTACTACTCGTTATCCAAAAACATTATTTATTTATTTCGTGCAAGTAAATTCAGCAAATAGTTGTTTAAATTAGCCAGTTCAAAATATGTCTTTAAACATCGTAAAATCTCTTTATTTCTCTTTCTTTGTTTCAAAGATAAAAGAATTGCGAAAACGATGCCAAATATTCCATTGCACATAATGATATTAAACACTCGAATTTGGCTAGCTCAAATCTCAATTGAGCTTGTCAACTAACCGATCTCAACGTCGTTGAACACGAAGATGAAGAGGAAAATGAAATTAGTTTTTGAGACCATTACTTAATCTCACAACAAAGGCACATTTTATATATGCGCGAGCCCGTAAAAAGCTGATTTTTACGCTGAAACTATGCAAGACTGTCGAATTCCGTCAGTGAATACAGCAAACATAAATGTGCGCTTGTGTGTGCGTCGTTTTTCTTCTTCTTCTTTCTTATTGTCGGATGCGACTCGCCTGAGCCATATAATCATTTTCATTTTGCTAAAACATTGTAATTGACCCATCATATCTGTTCATTTCAAACATAATTTTAATGAACGAGCAAGCAAGAGAGTTAGTTACTGACTCGTTTTTAAATTTATATTTTTCCGCTTTTAGCTCAATATATTGTAGAAATTAAATGAAAAACCCAGAGAGAAACGTATAAATGATTGCTTTTTCGTAGTTGGCATTTTGTAAATTGAGTGGACGGGCTGAGACTCTCTTTCTCGGACATCAAACGTAATGAATGTTCAGAAAATTATGCGCTCTTGCTTGCTCGTTTGCTCGATTACACGAAATTGCGCTATGAAAGAGCAACACTCGTGAATAAAAAAATGTAATCAAATTTGACGTTTCACTCCATAAAACTAAAACAAAAATATATATATATAGAAAAAAATAGCACGAAGATAAAAGGCTGAGCGCAATGCAGTGAGAGACGACGGCAAGCGTAAATGACCAGAAATGGATCATAGTGTTATTTTCTCGTCTGTATTGTACCAAGAGCTTAGTTTGTTCACAGAATACATTCGGATTTGAAAAAAAAATTTCGCTCGCTATCTCAGCCACTCGCTCGTTTCAAGAACACTATAAAAACATTAGACGGAATCGCGAATCAACAAATCTTACAACAAAACAACTCGATGTATAGATAGATATAAATTTTAATGACATTAATGAAACGTGGCAGGGCGTTAGTTTTAGTTTAAGATAAATGGATTATTGCTTTTAAATTAGATAATTATTTTAGTGTTTGCTTCATTTCACAAAACGTACGAAATGTGCTTTAATTCTTTTTTTCATTCTCTCTCTCCGTTCTGGTACCGAAACGCCATTTAAAAATTGGAGCAAGAATGAGCAAGCAAGAACCCAGCCCATGAACATTTGTCTTAATTGTATTGCGGTCACTCGACCGATTCAAAGTCGTAAAGATCTTCTGGAATTATTTTCAAACGAAATTCATTAAGTCACTTTAGTAAAAGTGAATTTGAAAGAAATAAATACGCTCACCATGTCTCTCTATTTCGATTTTTTGAAATATATATATTATAATAACACAAAAAATCGCGTGTATTTGAATACATTCTCTTTATCAATCATTAAACAATTTTGTGTGCGAAGCAAAGCAGAAGGAAAAAAACGTTCATTATATCCATTTGTGGAAGAGGACCGTAATTTAATTTTCACATTTACGCGTAGCCAGCAATTCAAACAATGTGTGAATCAAAGGAAAGTAACAAAACGATACTTCCCTGTGAGAGCTTTTCAAACGAACCAAAACTGGGTCACGGGTTGGTGTGGTGTTTTTTTTTTTTGTTTAAAAAATGGAACACCGTAATGTCATCCTTCTATTTCACAAGTATCGTATTTTATTCATATTACACACTCGTACGCTCGCACCGAATGTCGTTTATGGAGAAAGAACCATTTATCCGAAAATTGCGTACTGATAAGAATAATCGCGGAAAAGTATACTTTCAGTGAGGTATTTAAACAGATTATATATGTGTTTAATACCTGCAAATTAAATCATATTACCATTAACATGTATTTTCACTCACGGATTCGTAGCACACACTTACAGCGCCATCTTCTGAAAGTGAATGATGACATTTATTTTGCAGAATAAAAGCTATTCATATTTTCTTGATAACTCTTTTTTTCGATGTGAAAGCTCATTACATACAAAATGTTGGTTCATTTATTGTTATTAATTTAAAAAAAAGACAATCGAATTATTTTAATTTTTAATTGTATGACCTTTATTCTAAGGTGTTTTATCATTCTTCCAATCAAATCGAATTTATTCTTCATCCAATTGTTTCATTTCAAAGTTTAAAACTCATTGTTGAATCGGACATTCCGATTTTCGGCGGTACAAATCTTCGTTTTGAATTTCAAGTCGATGTGCACCATATTCACCAAATTTGGTTTCAGGTGTTTTCACGACATCATTTGTATGTTTGGACATCGCTGACATTGTTGGTGTGGATGATTTAATTTGATATCCCATTCTGCTCGTGCCTGGCTGTGTTCATTTTGTTCATTCTAAATTTCATTGAGTTTATTGATTGAGATGGTTTTTTTTTATTCTCTGCTTATAAACCAATTCACTTCCAAGTGATCCGGAGTTTCAAAAATCCTTTGCCAGTAAAGCTATGCAATATTCTTTGAGTGTGTACGCCAAGTTTAAGGGCGATTGTTTCAACATACTAAACAAATCGATGATAATTAGATATTATTGTTGTTGTTATTCGCCTTATATTGATTTTACTATTTTAAATTCTTACGAATTTACAATCCAGATACTTGCTTTCGGAGCGTTTACGCACCATCATAAGCAATTACAACTGATAATTCAATACTTCAGTGCAACGAGTAAATCATTTTTCATAGAAAAAGATTTTTCGGTCATCGGGAATCGAACCACGAATCTTCTCATTTCATGTGAGATGCTCTAACCATTGAGCTATGACGACCCCGTCGCATCGACGCACACAGAGCATCTCACATGAAATGAGAAGATTCGTGGTTCGATCCCCGATGACCGAAAAATCTTTTATTCATTATGTTTTACAGTGCCTGCGCCGTCTACTGTGATTGAGTCGCAATTCAATACACAAAACATAACAGGCAACGCGCGCACATAAACGGAATTCGTGTGTTACTGTGTATAAGGCCGCATGCTTGCACAGCACTGTAAAACATAATGTACAATTCTATATACACATGGAATAGCGTCGATTAACGTCGATTTGACGCGCATAGCGTTGAGGTTTCATATGGGATGTATGAGAGATTTGGGCCACCCTAATGCATATACACGCGTCGTGGTATAGAAACCATCGATACTTGTTTATTTATTAACTGACTTATCAAATGACGAAATTTTATGTATAAGTTAGCTCAGTCCGCACAGCTCAGTTAGTTGAATGTGTCTGAAATCAGTTTGTTATATTTTCATAATTAAAAAAAGAGAGAATAAGATTTTTTTTTAAATATTACTTTGAATTTATATTATGGCATTCTTTATAAATTCGGTTCAGTTCATGCTCTTTCAATCGAATTGACAAGTTGCTTGAACTTCATTCAATTTGCGATTGATTTTCCCAATCTTTTTTTCGCTAATACAATACTTTCTTTGAAAATTGATATTAAGATTTTTTTTTTCTGTACAATTAAATGATAACATGACATGGTTGTTTATTAAATCAAAAAGTATTTTTATAAATGAGTTCTTTTATGTTAGAGCATCTTTTTCAGCTTGTACGATGGCTTCTTGAATGACGATTTCAAGTTTTCGTCTCTTCAGGTCGTCTGGCAGTCTTTGTAGTCGTTGGGAAACAAATATTCCAAAATGTTCGGCATCATTTTCCGGCATCCAGCTGACTCGTGTCGATGATGTCCCCATCGAAGGTGTGGGCGATGATGCATTCGATGGTAGACCACAGCTTGACATTGGTTCACGTTTTACCAAATTTTCTGGTAATACATCATCCGCCGCATTGTATGCCATTTCATTTTCATTGATGCTGTTATTTCTCTGAACGAAAGACTTAAAAATATTTATGAATCGTGTATTTTGCTATAATTTCTTTTCTCAGAATAAATAAATGAATTTCAAATTCCACGAAAATGAATTTAAAAAAAGTGTCAAAAAAATTGGTTCTTTTTCATTGAGTAGATTTGACGGAAATAAAAAAAAAAACATACCGTTGACGTTGATGCGGCATTTTGTACAGTCGTATCATATTCGTCTTCATCATCACTTATAACAATAACATGTGTGTCAAAGATGGTGTCTGCATTGTTAATTAAACGTGAAATTCGATTGCCGCCATACATAAAACCAATAACGCGAACAAATTCCTTTTGTAATAAATCGCTTTTAATTGGTTTCTCGTAATTTCGTTGCTGAAAGATGATGCAATCAGTTGGAAAATCTCGACCGTATTTTTGTGCAATTTTCTCAATTGTCGCATAACCAATTCCAGCATATGCATGATTTCGTACAGTGCATTGATTGAGTTTTTCGGCAATTTCTTTGATTAAACCATAAAACGTAGCCACTATTTCAATGATATTGTCATTTTTGTGTACATGATGCTTTCGCATATAAGTTTCGTAGCATGTATCAAATGTACAGTCATCGAAATGGGTTTTTAACTCTTCACGATAGCAATATGCACATTGTTTCAATCCAATATGTGCATTATGATTAATCGCCATGTGGCTCAAAATACACGTATAATGTCCAATCAATGCACAAAATTTGCAGCGCAATATTTGATTACCGATTTTACGTGATGCCCGATAGTCGTAATATTTGAACGAAACAAACGTAAAAAATTTCATTAATTGCAACAATAATTTTGGGCATTCGGTTTTCACAATTCGATCGTATAAACGTCTTTCTTCCATATAATAATCAATAATACACATCAATTGAAGGGCGACCAAATTCGTTTTTTCATTTGATTGTTCCATTACCACGGCAATTGGTCGCTTCGATAAGTGAATCGAAATCGCTGTACTCGTATCCATCGCTTTCACCGTTTTTATTTATTTATTTTAAATGTCACAAAGAAAATACTTTATTGGAAAGATTGAAAATCCCGAAATTTATGGTCGATTATCACAATTTTCGAAGAAATAAGGAGAAAAACATCAAATGTTCGTATCGAAAATGCAAACACTTTAGATCGACTAAACTTAAATACGGACGGACTGTTGTCGGTTGATTACTGTAATTATAAGTGTATTGACAACAACTGATAAGTATGTTGCGACAATGAAATAAAAAGAAAACCAAATAACGACAATACGCTGGCTTTAATTTCAATCAGGACTGAAACATGAATGTATATGTTCATTTAAAAAGACTTTTTTTTGCTCATATTCATTCATTTGAACGGAATCGAAGTATTTCGGCTTTGAATGCAACTGGCTAATTAATTTTTACAGTTCCGATTCAAATATGATACATTACTTAACTTGAATACAAGCAAATACACTAGCAATTCTGAGTGCAAGAACATGTATGTGTGTAAATGAACAAACAATAAAAAAATTTAAAGGCGTCGTCGACTTGTGTGAGATTCCTTCAAATCCATTATTCTTTATCAAAGTTTCATGTAATATATATAATGCGCACGTTCACAAAGTCTCAATGTAAACGTTCGTAATGTGTTTATTGTGTAATAGAAATATAGTTTTTTTTATTATTCGCTATTTTATTCAGTTTCGAGATATTCCATTAAAAATGAAATAATGAAAGATTCAAAATGTCTTTAATATCACGTTAACATAATAATATCTTGAAAGAAAAAAAAATTAGCTGCCAAAATGGCATTGTTGATCAACTATTTCTTGATTTTTATTTTGTTGAATTTTTGATAGTTTGCATGTTTCCTTCTCTGCAAATATTTATTTTTTTGTATTTGTCATAATTTTGTTTCAGATACAGGAAATGTACTTTAAATTGTGATTATTTTCTCTCTATCTCTGTGTGTTTTATCTTTAGGAATTTTTGTTGGTTTCATACTATTTAACTTGATTATAAATATATGGACAATTGGACTTAGTTAAAAACGTTAGTTTAGCTAGAAACGTTAAGTATAAAATATTGGAGGGAAAATCTGTGAATGAATTCAATTCAATTCTATTGAAATATTTTATGATTTTGAAAAATTAAACTTTTTTTTTGTCTTTCGTCTTTAATCTATCACTAAAAATCCGACTTAGTTATTTTAATCATCCAGAGCTTCTTCTTCTATTTCGACGATGCTTTGTTGAATACGCAATTCTAGTTTGCGTCGTTTGTTGGGATTTTTTAATTGATTTAGTCGGTTTGTCACAAAACGGCCAAACAATTCAGTTTCATTGGGTTCCAATTTGCATTTTTGCATTGTATTTTCGTTTTGACCGTCATTTGCCGTCGATAAATTTTCATGAATATTTGCCGGTGGTTCTATTTCCGATGTGTCCCGTGTAAAATCAGTGGCATTCGACTGTGGTTCACATTGTGTAGATGCAACCGCAATTCGTTCTCGCGATTCGTCATTGTCTTTCGCCATTTCATTCAATGTCACTGGAACATCGTGTACACTTGTCGCGACATTTTTATCGTCCGAGCGCTCAATTTTTACCGTCACAAACTAAATTGAATATTGAAAATAAAGCAACGAATTATGAAATATTATGTATCACTCAATAAAGACAATTTAGAGGAAGAAATACACAAACAAAAAATATCAACTGAAGAAGAAGAAAGAGAAGAAAGAGAATGAAAAAAAAAAAATGAATCTATGTCATAGATTTGGAATGTTTGTTCCATTGTTCTTGGAATTTTTTTTAACGTTAAATAATAAATATTTTATTACTACAGTTCACAAGGCTTTAACACGAGCATTATGTTTCATATTAGAATCCATTCGATTTGCATGAATCTGAACAAGAAAAGAGTTGCTCGTGTTTCGTTTTTTTTATTACATTCGCGTCTGGAGTTCGGAATTCTTCAATCGCTTGGCTTCAAAAATAGCTTGTATTTTTGTGATGTATTTTGAAATGTCGCCACAGAACTGTTTCAAATTCACAATGCATATAAAATAAATTGTTCGATGACTGAAAAAAAATATTCTCAAAAATGTCGTCGTACCGTCCAATTCGCCAAAAAGCCGAACCAATTCATTCATTACACATGTCAATTCAAACCATTTTGTTGCTACAACAAATTAATCGATTGCATCATAGAATATTGCATCAGATTTCAGATGCTAATACCAAAATTTTCAAGATAAAAGAGTTCTCCAACTGAATGCAAAGATGATTGATGGTAACAGTTCCGATGAAAATGCGAATAAGGTGAATGAGGAAAAATCGATTCCCAAGAAGAAGATTCTTGGTGTGATCAAAAATGAAAATGCTACCAAATTTGTCAAGGTAAAAGTGGAAACATTGACTCCAAAGCAGAAGATTTTAGGTGATGATTAAGTAGAAAAGTAACTTACCGGTGCATCGGATGCATTTTGTGGATTTCTATTGTTGGTGTTTTCATCATCATCATCATCGTCGATAACAACAATTTCAACATCTTCTTGGGATTTGGCACGGCTTTTTAATCGCGAAACTCCATTCCCCCCAAAAACAAAACCCACCACCATGTTAAACAAATAATCCAATTTGTCCGATTTCATTTTTTTTGAGCTGCGTCTCGGTGTAAAGACCATACACGTAGTTGGAAAATTTGGAATTTTTCGTGGAATTTGTTCAGTCCGTGGCTGGAATCGTCCCGTGAAATGTTCAACTCGTTGAATAACTACATTAAGGCTTTCAGCTAAATCTTTTAGCAATTTGTAGAAATCGGTAACAATTTTCAGTTTTTCGTCGTTGGCCAAATCAATGCCATACTTCTTCAAATATTGGTTGTAACAAACTTCCAGAGTTCCATTCGCATTGTGATCGACAACACTTTCTCGTTTGCAATAAGCGCACATTTTAAGGCTCATATGCGAATCATGGTTAATCGCCATGTGTGTCATAATCAATGCATACGGTCCCAAAAGTTCACAAAATGCACATTGAAATTGACGTTCGCCGATTGCATGATTCACTTGACAATTGTAATATTGGAAAGAACTGTACGAATTTAATTGCATTAAATGTTGCAGCAGCTTTGGTTGGGCCATGATTATCGGGTATAACTTGCGATTTGTCGCATAGTAGTCCAGAACGCACATGAGTTTTAATGCTTCCAAATCGTCTTTCTCCTTGGAATTATGAAAGATCGGCCCAATTGGGCGGTTCGACAAATACGTTTGTAGTTTGTTCTTATCAACCATGTTTTGACACTTTTTTTTGCCTTTGACTTTCGCACAATTATTTGACATTAAACTTAACACAGCAAATAAACGGCTAACGTTTCGTTGTTTGTACACAAAAAAAAATGTCGCCGATTTGTGAAATTTGAAATAAACAATGTGTTCCGACGCAGTCGCTGTTACTCACGTTCTGCGATAATGTTCACGCTTACATTGACAAGTTGATCAATGAATACACAAACACAGTGATAACATCACACACTGATCTACAGTAGTGCTAAAAATCTCAACCGCTTAAATGTATTCTTTATCGGTGTTTGTGTGTAGTGCAGTGTGCGACTGAGACTAATCGATTACAATATGAAAACAAATGAGTGAACGGCATGCATTCTATAATATTTATTTTTTTCCCATTCATTTCGAATTTAAATAAAATGACAATACACACACTTGGACTCGGATGAAAACTAAACGGATTACATTTTCGAACACTGACAATATTCATTTTCTTCATTCCATATTTGTAAAATAGTAAAAGTTATTTTTGTAAAATAATTCATTGTCATAGATTTCTTTAATGCTGCAAAGTCCTTCAAATCTCGGATTCGTTCCTGTTAGGCATTGAGATGCGGTATTTGAGGTTCCTTGATAAATTGGATTCTTCAACATATTTGTCAATGAATAATCGCAAGCATATATTGTTGTGTACCATCCATGTTTTTTAAATTGAACTATTGCGCATCCAACTGCGTACGCTTCGTCTCGAACTAACTGCGTAAAGTGACCAATCATTCGACTAATTCGAAAAAATATATTCTTTTTTATTGACAACGTAAACGTTGAATGCATTTGATTAATAATTTACCCAATAGTCCTAAAATTATTTATGACATCCATATTTGCATCATTGTATTCATCAAACCAACCTTTAGTCATACTTTCAATAATTTTCTTTGGTTTATCAAATTCTTTGCTGTTTTGTGATAGTGCCAAGTTTTGTCCAGCATACCGATATTTACCTAAATTATTACCCGAAACGAAAAAAAAAACAATAATCAGCCAAAAAAACTGTCAAAAACTTTGACGATCCTACCCGTATTTCGACATAAGTCATGGGCAAAAGTGCATGTGCGCACATTATACTCGGCAAACTGGGCCAGATCATCATCCCATACCTTCAAATCATAAAAATTGCAAGCGATAAAATACGGCTAAACATGTCAAACTAATGGTTTTTTAAGTTCAAAAACTCACAAGTGTTGCCATTCGAGAGGCCTTTTGATAGCCTTTAATACCACCGAGAGCAATTTGATTACGATAGCTATTATGCGTATTCAACACAAATTCTTTCAATTCATCTGTGAAATCGATAATAACGGCATTCGGTGGACACGCTTTGCTGAATTTCTAACAGAAAAAACACATTTTCCACTTTAAAAAATGGTTATGTTCAATGAAAATTCAACGTATACCCCATCATTGTTGCATGCAATATGTTTTATTCCATATCCACAAAAGGAATTTGAACAATAATCACTGGACAGTGTCGCCGTTATTATCATGAAAAGAAAAACTTTCAACACAGTTATTATTTAATAGATAAATCATTTGCCAGCTTATTTGAGTTTCAAAACTTACCAACTACTTTATTTATCATTTTTGAAAAGGACAACGAGAATTATCTTGTTAGAACACCGATTCGAAATGAATGAACATACCGTCATTTGTAGTGGCTTTTATAGCAAGAAAATAATTATTGTTCGTAAATTCGACGACAATTGTTAGCATATTTTTACGCCGAACTTATTTAACGAGCCATTGTTTTTTCTGCTGAATGGAACAATGTCAACATTCGTTTTTTTGGGTTACTTGCATTTATTACATTTGATTTAAAATAATTTTGCTATTACAAATTTGAACGATGTAAGCTGATGTTTCAAGTATGTAACCAAATGAAAGTAATGCAACCAATTTCTAATTACAAATAAAAAAACTGCATTCTATAATTTGTATTTCTACGATAAACATAAGGTCCAAAATTAGAATATTTTCAAAAAAAAAAAACTATAAAATATTCATGCTCAATTGAAAAAAATAATAGTTTTGTTTAATATTTTGGCCAAAATATTTGAATATTTATTCAAATAAATATTTTCCTCGATCCTGAATTTTATTGGCTTTGCTTTGACACATAAAATGACGCCAATGATTTTTTGTTAAATTCAAACACTTTCAATCAGCTCAAATCCTTGTAAGGTCCAGAAAAAATCTTTCATATTTCGGCTGCTGTGAAGTTTATACAGCGTGAACCATACGATTGGCATATTTTATGGTAATGAAAATTATTTTCTAAAGTAGATCTAATCCAAATTCGCTTCGGTTAAAACAGATTTAGGCAAAAATCGTTAAAAGAAACTCAATAAGTCATTGAAGATTTCTTCAAATTTGAATCATCCGCTTTTACATAAACTCATTCTACACATAAAATACTAACACCATGACGTAACAAATATTTTACGGAATAAATGAAAGTAATGTCATTGTGAAATGAAACTAATTTTAGAAATTTTATCTACAAAATAATTTATTTTCATTCATAATTGCACAAGAATCTTAATGATGATAAAATATGAATTTGCAAGTTTGGATGATTTCGGTTTATTTCTGAGCTAAATAAAGGAAAAATTCAATCATAAGAATAAAATAAATCATTGTTGTCATAAATTTCGTTGATGCTACAAAGTCCTTTGAATTGTTTATGTGCTCCTTTTGTGCAATTAGACGCAGGTTTTGAAGAAGTATCATAGATTGGATAGCTTTTAATACTTGTCAATGAATAGTCGCAGCCATAGATTGTAGAGTATTCCCCTGATTTGAATTTAATCATTGCACAACCAACAGCAAACGCCTGGTCTCGAACTAATTGCGTAAAATGGCCAATCATTTTGCTAAAGATAAAAAAATATATAGTACATTGAAGAATAATATACGAAGTTCTAAATTACCCATTTGGTTGATAACTTTTCATGATATTCTTGTCCGCATCGGCGTATTCATCAAACCAGCCTTTCGTTATTTTTTTAATCATTTCTTCAGGCGTTGGAAACGTTTTCTTTTTAATCAATATTCCGAGATTTTGACCAGCATATGGAAATTTATCTAAATTAATTCGCAATTAGAAAAAAAGCAGTGGGTGAATGCGAAAAGAATCGTTTGAAGAAAAATAATAATTTGATAGTTTCGAGTTGATAATTTTGTTTATTCGTACCGGTATTTCGACATTCGTCATGGCCAAAAGTGCATGTGCGCACATTATACTCTGCTAGTTTGGCCAGTTCATCATGCCATACCTTTTGAAATGTTTAAACAAATATGAGGAAATCAGCAAATTTTGTGATGAGTGAGAATGAACCGACTGCGCACTCACCAGTGTTGCCATTCGAGCGGCCTTGTCATAACCTTTTATTTCGCCGAGAGCAATTTGATTACGATAATTGTTATGTGTACTCAATGCCAATGTTTTTAGTTTATCGGTAAACTTAATGAGCTCAGCATTTGGAGGGCAGCTCTTGCCGAATTTCTACAGAATAAAAAAAATCATTATTGCGAAAATTCGCATTTTAATAAAAAATTGTTTGGTTGTACCCCATCGTTTTTGCAGCCAATATGTTTCCTTCCCTCGCATAAGTAATCTTCGCAATAATCAATGGATAGTGCCACCGTTACCAATATGGAAAGAAAAACTTTCAAATCGAAAGCAATAAATTAGTAGGTAGTAGGTAATATGAAAATTTGTTTAAGACAAATACCAACGACTTTGCTTATCATTTTTCTGCACTTTTATCAAAGATTCTCTTCTTAAAAATGTTAATTTTGTGATTCGAAACAAATAAAACTACTAGCAACCGTCATTTGACTCTGCTTTTATAACAAAAAAAATAAATGGCCATTCATTTGAATGATGCAATGACAATAGTTGACATATTTTTGCACCGATAAGCTCACTTTACGAGCTATTGTTCAATTTTTTCGCTGAATTCCACTGAATCCATGACACATTCTTCTTTGACTATTTTGTTATGTCTTATTGGAAAGACTTTGGTAGTGTTTGCAATGCAATAAGAGTTTCCTAGATGAGAATTTCATTAAAGTATATGGAACATTTCCATAAACCTCTCAAATATCGTGAACGAACGTTTTTTTAAATTTAATTTCACGTATTCTTTGTACGTTGTGAAAGCCAAAATTGTATTTGTTAAAATGTAAAAAAATTATTTTCATTTTGCTCAGAATTTGTGTTTTATTCTTTTTGGACATTTTCGGTCCGTGCATTTTAAATAAGTTATCACAAAATTGTAATTCAAACAATGGAAGTATTTCTATATAACGCTTGCTGAAAATATCTCTAGTCGCAATGTAGAAGATACAAACAAATAATATTTTCAATTTGTAAATTCAATCTATTCTAAAAAAGAGTTGATAAAAAAATCGAAAGAAAAAAACGATTGAAAAGAAAACAGAACTCATGGTGTTTTTATTTGCGTTTTATACATTTAAAGTTTTTTTTTAGATAACTGTGTCTTCTAACACACTGTCTTATCTTTGACTTTCAACAACTGTCAATAGTCTTTATCGTTGAAAATTTGGATTACATCTTCATGTTTAGTATTCCTTCCATTGATAGTAATTTATTGTAAATTATTTGCGAATGATGACTCCTGATTATAAAAAGCATTTAGCACTGGTTTATGCTTCAATCTAGAAAAACATATGTAATTAACAGAAATTTATAAAAAAATGGTTATGTTTAGGCTTGTCCGTATACTGACAATTCAAAATCTATACATTAATTTATGCTATTTCTCCACCGACGGTTTGCGCATTTGCTCCAACAAGGACAAAAATCGGTAAAAAGTTCATGTTATTCTTGTTTTTTCGGAAATATAATTGAAATTTTCATAAATATAATTTCCTAATAGTTAGCATTTTTGGCTGTTTGGAAACCCGAAAAATACCAATGAAAATATATCTTTGCATGTGAATATATATATAAAACTGCTTTGCTGAAAATTAAATTCACCAAATGATCCATCAGAAATAGTGTCAAAAACAATTTGTATAATAACTTCATCTTCTTGTCAAAGGAATCATCAGTATATATCGTTTTTTTATTCCTGTCTCCTAGACAACCACGTTAAAATATATTTACACTTTTTCAACGCGTTTGTCTACTAATTTAAACCGTTTAGTTTCATATCGCGTGAAATGAATGCAAAGATTTGAAAAAAATGTGTGTTTCTCAAATATATTTGTCTAAATTTATCACTCTTTATCAAAGTGAAATACTTTTAATTCACTTGTTTCGAAGCGGAAGCTTGACACCGAAAATAATTATTTTAATTTTTAATAGGAAACAGGGCGAACGTTGTTTCATCTGAGGTACATAACAAAGAAAACCATAACTGTGTGTTTTTTTACGTATCGTGGCAGATTTTCAAGCCGCTTATTGAACAGAACTAGTATTCTTCGAAAGCTTTACAATATTCAAATTGAAATGAAACTGTGGGTGAAAACTATACTTAAACTGACCAAAACGATAAATGAAAGAACATTTATACTTTCATAAATGTTTTAATTTTAACCATCAATACAATTTTGATTGCAACGAAGCATATGGACAAACAAAACCGCTATATTTTCGTTCCCATTACAAAATTCACGCGCGTCAAAGAAATTGAATCATATATATTTTTGTGCTTATATGTCATTTTGGTTTTGAAATCGCCATATAGCACATTTGTCAGCCAGATGGTTTTTGAAGCCACTTGTGTGGTGTTAATTGATTCGAGCAATGTACCTTAAAAACTTTCATTTTTATATATTCAAAGACAAAAATGTTTATATTCTTTTAAAATGATGAACACATTACCATAAAAACGGGTTGTTTAGCAACCAAATGTCAGACTTGTATCCAAGACAGTATGTTGAGCTGACTATCTCACATTAATTTCATTTGGAATGCGACAAAATAGCCATCAATTTGGTATATTTCGATTTTGTGACATTTACTAAGTGTAATTGAAATGAAAAAAAACTGTGACTGTAGACATCTGAAATAGAAGTCTATATTCACAGAGAATTTTCATTTTTTTAATTACACATTCAGACGAATTAAAAAGAATATTTTAGTGGCATGACTATAACACAAATAAACAAACCTATCAACAAACATTTTAGTTAACAAAAAAAATTATAACAAACTTTTTAATTTACAAATTGATTGAAAAATCGCAATTTTTGGGATTTTTTTTTTCTAATCTTATCAAATTATAGTTGAATTCAAATAAATGAGTTCAGATTCGGTTCGTCGAACTCTCCACAACACATTTTCAATGAAAAATAATAAAATTAAATTAATGAACACACAAATTTATTTATTAAAATTATTAAGTTTTTTTTTTAAATTTGCAAATACATGAGAATGTGAATTGAAACACAATATATTTTCAGTAAATTCGATCATTTTTTAATAGCCTACATCAATGCATTGAGTGATCAAAGGGCATTTCCTCGTCGGGTTCATTATTTGTTTGATCGGAGTGTTCTCTTGGTGGTAAATCTATTATTTGATCCTTGGGTATTTTGGTGTATGGTTCATAATTACCGCATTTTGGGAAATAAGCTGGTGGCTGTACCTTTATTCAAAAGAAAAAAATGTTTATATTTTTAAATAAATGATAAGCGTGAAATATATTAAATGTGATCATAGAACTGAATTTCTAACAAATAAATGGCGGTACCATATCGGATTTTTCGCCAACTTGAATGATGGCCATCATTCCCGTCATCATATGGAACTCAAAATGACAGTGAAATAACCTGAAATTTAATAATTAAATTTTTTTTTCTCCATTGGAATATAATAATTGAATATTTTTTTATTACCAGAAACCGGGATTGCATGCTCTTATTCTTAATCGAACAAAACCCCCAGGGGGAATGTTTATAACGTCCTTAACCGATGAATAAAATAATTTAAGATGAATTCGAGCTATGAATCAACTCTAATATATTTATATATATATGGATATGTGTAAGAACTTAACTAAAAAGAGGGAGACAAATAAAAATGTTGATAAGAATATTGGGATAGTTTACCTTAATCGGTGGTGCATATTTCAAATTCGGATATGGTGTTGTACCATTTTCAAGTTGTGCCCGAGTTCCCATGTCACACACTTGAAAACCGTAGCCATGCAAATGAAATGGATGTGAGATTGCTCCTCCAGGCACTACACACATTTGTTTTTAAGAGAATATAAAACAATTCCATTAATTGTCCAATGTCCATTCATAATATGATTAAATTCCTACCTCCGGTATCATACACATGAAATTCATAGATTTTACACAGCTCTAGTTTAATCACTTGAATACATTCGCAAATTGTTGTTGGGCTGCAGCCCAGTGGTAAATGTTCAGCATCACAAAATGGAACGTCGGAATAATTTTGGGTAAGTATGGGTTTCCAAGGATGAATGAATGAGATGTTATTTATCATAGATCTTAAGACATTATTACCAACAGCTAAAAAGAAATTAAAATCGATCGATATAGATTCATGATTTGTATATCGTTAAATCAACATACTTAAGTATGAACTTGGTCTAACGCTAACAACCGAATTTCGGAACTCAAGATTAATGCGTTTTGCGATTTTTGCATTTCGTAAGTTTTCGCAAGTTGCCCCTTTTTGTACTAAGCGAGCAATGCAATAGTCTTTCCCATTTAGATTACTGCAATCCGTATTTGGATGATTCAAGTACTAAAATATATCAATGTTCATTTGAAAAACCAAATCAATTGCTAAAGATTTGTTTGGACTTACAGTAGCATTTGCATCCTCCAGTGATAGATAGCTTGGCCTTGGATTTAATGGTTGATGGTCTTCAATTCGACCTTTATGTGTATATACATTGCCTACAACAATAAATTTGGCAAATTCTTGTAATAATAGTCTCGCACAACCTCCCAAAGCACGTGCTACCATTAATATCTGATCTGCGAGAGAAAAAAAAATGTGTTTATTTTAAATGTGGCCAAACATTTCGAAAATTGCGTAAAATAGAAATTAACCTTTATCTTCTGGTGGTTCTATAACGAAATCAAATCGTTCGCCTGGTTGGCAAACAATTCGGTCGACTATCACTGGATAAACTGAATAAGTGTCTGACGCTATCACTTTTAATTTACAGCCTTGAATCTATAATTTTCATTTTTAAATCAAAACAACTAAATTTTGGCTGAATCAAAGTTAACAATACGAACATGAATTTCTGTCGGGCAATTTTGTGATCCAGCATTAATAAGACGGATAAGAGATTTTTTGTATCTTTGAACATAAAACACAGCAATTGGTGCGTAAGTGGCATTTCCAATTAAAGGATTGAAAGTTCCACAACCATTAATCAGAATGCTATCTGGTCTTAATATTCCGTTTCTGGTACCTGGCATAAATGCTTCGCCCATTTGGTTCATCCAATCAGATACTATGATCGTGTGTTGTGGCAAATCGGTATCGTAACAATCTGCATTTGGATCCTTTTCATTTCGAATAACCAATGCTCCAAAAATGCCATCAGTTCTTTGCACACCAGAATGCGAGTGATACCAATTTGTGCCAGGTTCTGGACATTCAAAATCATAACGGAATGTGGTTCCCGATGGGATTGGGCACTGCGTAACCATTTGTACACCATCCATATGGGGTGTTTTTGTTTGTAAAATTCCATGCCAATGAACTGAGGTTTCACATCCATGCATATGATTCATCACATCGGCAATGATACGATCACCTTTACAAACGTGAATCCCAGGGCCGGGAATGCCACGATTTATTGTCGTAACAACACGTTGAACTCCGTTCGTTGGTAGGCAACCAGAATTGTAACAATCGGTCATATTAGTCGGACAATTAAGACATAATCTGAAAAGAAAATTGAATAAATTTCACAATTATCAACTCCAAACAAAAAAAAATTGAAGGGTATTAACATACCCTGACATTGTATCATAATGCTCAAACATTAAGTGATAATAGCAAGTTCTTGGTTTGCCATCACATACACGCCAACAGCTTCGACTATCGTTGAATTTGGTTCCCTCTAAAATGGACAATTTCAAGTTTAATTCAAGTAAACATTAAAAGCATATTTTCATATACCCTGGCCGAATCTCTCCATTAATTCCATTGTAGATAAATATTTGTTTTTACATTGACAATTGGTTCCACAATGGCAATTAGGTCCACAGCTACCCATCGTCAGTGGGATTAAGCAGAAGAAAACGATTATGATCGATTTTTTTGTAACACACTGAAGCACCATTCTTGCTGTTGGATCGCAAACCGAACACTTTGTAAAATTCAAATAAATCGATATGAAAATTAAATTCAAAATGATGAACATGATGAATGAAAGAGCTTTTATACGCCCCCATTTTTTTTTCAGCGGTATTAATTTTTATTGTCACGTTGCAAAAAAAAAAATTTTTTTTAAAGGGTAATGATATTGATGCAATGAAGCAAACAGACAAACAAAAAACGTCTGCATTAACGGATTTTCATGGCTATTCTCTTTTATTACAAAATTCTCTTGCATCAATGAAATGGGTTTCCAGCCAGATTTGCAACGCATATGATTGAACTCGTAATTTTAAAAATATGAAGTATGCATTTATCTTCTTTTTTTTTAAATAAAAAATAAAAAAAATGAGTCGCATGGTTTTCAGGGTCTTGTTTGTTTTTGTTGGGAAATTATTGCACGCGTTGCCAGTTTTATTTATAATTGATGAATGCGAGATAGTGAGTTCGAAACAAAATTAAGCATAGCATATAAAAATATTTCCCAATAAAAAAACTTCGAGCTGCAAAGTTCACTCCCAAAAAGAACTTCAGGTACTATCTTATCATTGATACTTTGTACTAGACAGATAAAAATATTTTTGAATATATTTGAATTATAAAATCTGGTCGAAACGAAATCTGTTTTCATGTTCTTTGCCATACATGTTCATAAATTTAATCAAAGTTTGCTATTTTTGTATACAGTATATATTCTTTTTACCGATGATGATGCGCCAATTTCAAAGCGAATCAGTTGTTATTAATTTCTTGATGTAACAAAAAAAGAAAAACCACTCTTTCTAATGCTGTTGTATAATCGCCCCTGTATAGTAACAACAAGAAATAAAAAGAACGTCATTAAACGCATCTTAAATAACGAAAGATTCCAAAATTTCCTAGGGGCTTTCATCTATTCGTTCATACAAATTTACGAATGAAAATTACTTCGTTTTGTAAGATCTTATGGCAGTGGCTTATCCAGAGAATCAGTGATGGCTCTTACTAAAGGTGCACACATTTTGATAATGATTTTCCCGAAAATACGCAATACAACAAAGGTAGTTTTATTTTTTTTATTTTTTTCAATTCAAAACTGTTTGAAACATTAAAGGGTACAAAATGAAAGGCAGAAAAATCACAGCACAAAACTACAATGTATTTGGTGGAAGAGTTTTGACTACCTCCAAGGAGGAGATAGTCTGACGCTTTAATCTAGCTCAGAAGATATATTGCTCTTTGAGTTGAAGTTATAAGAAAAATAGAATGGGATTTACTGGTTATTGTTTGTATTCGCTTTTATTACGGTCTGTTGAAGATATTTGAAAATAATTTTACTTTGCTTTTCATGTTAAGTTCGATTAGCATATTACGTTCCAACTCACCTCTTCTTTTCGGATAGGATTACTTCATGGCCAGTAGTGCCAATTTCATGTCTATGCAGTACCAGGAATAGCTCTGCATGCAAAATAACAATAAGCTATCTGTAACTTTGAACTTTTTTGGTGAAATATCAATGATTGTTCAAATAAAACAATATACTTCCGCAAATAATAAACAAGATCTATGGAAACAAACTTTTTTCTTGGATTTTATTTCAGTTTTATTCGATTTTTTTCTAAATTGTTTATTTTTTTTAGTTTTAAACAAATCGAATACAATTAACCATGAATAACTTTTTAAATTATGGATTTCTTTTCTCTTTTTTTGTCGTTTTTTTAAATTTTTTTTTTTCATGTCAAACGCAATAAATAGTGGTGTCTGTGATATTTCTATGAATAGTTTATAACACAATATAGAATTTCATTTAATATTCATTTCATTTTTCTTGTATGTGTCTCATTTTAAGTTCTTTGTCCAGGTTGAATGTAAGACGATAAAGAAAATGATTTGCAGGATATTTTTAAAAACACCATCGAAGAATGTGTTGTTTCTATCATTTCATAATTAATAAAATTATTCCGATGAGCAAGCAAAAACATTGATTTAAATTGTGCGAATTTTACGGAGATTATTTCTCTTGCCGCTTTCTAAACATTTTTTTAGTTCTTTTATTAATATCTGATTCACGTTTGACATAATTCAATTGAATTGGATTTGGAAAAAAGATTCTTTTTGTTTAAATACGTAATTGTTTCAATTTTTCTTATTTACATTTCAACGAATTCTTTATTTGTTAGTAAAAACCTTTGATATATACCGAAAAACAAATTCAAATACTGACAAAAAATTATTGATGAATAAATATGATCGACAGTTCGTGTTTTTTTATAAAATGTTTTTAGTTTTTCATTCCAAAATTGATGTTCGACATTAAAAATCAATTAAATCAATTACTGTTTAGAATAATATTGAATTTTTGATTACAATTTTGATAAGTTGCGTTCTTTGTAAATTAATAGATTTTATTTAAGGTTAAACACAAAAAAATACTTAAAACATATTCAGGATAAAAAGGTTCGATTGAGGAATTTTAGGAATAATGGTGTGTGTATGTGTGTATGGTTTGAATTGGTCTGCATTCACAATAACAGGATTAACAATTACAATAATTCGTGAATTATTTACAGGGAATACCGTCAAATGGATATACCTGCTAAGATGCGATAGATTCATCAGACGGTTTCCTCTGATTGTTCAGATGTGTCTGCTTATTGACCACATTATAATAGTTTGACTAGGTATAAAAAATAATTGTGCCTTTTGTTTTAAATCTGTAAGTTTATTTTTGTTGTTGATGTATTTTTTTTATTAATTTTTTTACATTAATTACTAAATATTCATTTTGTCTTTAAATATGGTATAATTTTAGCTGCTTCATTTGCATTTATTGTATTATAGTTTTCTTTTTATTTCGAATTTTGTGTTTTCTGTTTTAAATACGTTTGCATCAAATATTCTATATATTTTTTTCAGGTAAATGTGAGTGTATATATGTAAGAATGATTGAATGACATAACTTTTCACCAAGTTCAACCATATCATTTTAAAATGTAAAAAAAAACATCGCCGGTTATTGTCACATCATCGCATATGCAAACCAAAATAATACGGCCTCGTGATACCACAATATGACGGTTGGTTGCACGTATTGTTTCGATTTTTTTTTTGTCACTTTGCATCTTAAAATGATGTCGTCCAACTCAGTGAGTGTCTTCTCATTTTTACTATTTCAACTGTATTTTCTCGTCGTTTTTTTCTTCTTCTCAAAACTAATTTAAGTGATATATTAACCTTCTAAATTAATTAACCTTCTAAAATAGGTACACTTTGTTTTATATCTCTCACATGAAATCGAAAGCTAATACGTTCATATCAATACTATAATGTAAAAAAAGTGTCAAACAGAGCGCAAAAATGAGGAAAACAAAATGAAAACGACTTAAAATCCTGTACGAACGTTTATTCTGTCTATAAATTGTGCTATATGTGGTGTGAAAAAATGTTCGTTGTTGGATTTATTGCTATTCTGTATTATCTCCCAATAGGGGATTGGCTTGAAATGTGTTTTTGCTGTACTTTTTTTTCACGGTGGAATGTAGCGGGGCTCGATTTAAAAGAAGAAATCTAATACGTTAATTCAAATAAACTGGCATTGAATTGTCATAATTTCAATCGTTTGAAATTTCGGTTTAAAAAAAATGTTTAAAAAAGAAAACAAATATGGTTCTTGATTCAATTGAACGATTCGCTCACAATCATTTTCACATTGGAAATTAAAGACCCGTTTGATTTCCATGTAACATTCACAGAAAACAAAGAAAATTGGAGACAAAACAAAAATCATACAAATAAAATGGACAAATGACTTCGCACTTATTTCGATATTTACATTTAGATTTTATACACGATTCTATATTCTGGCTGCTTCATTCAGTAAATACGAAACAAAAAAAGAAATTAAAACTACAAATAAATTTTGATTTTAAATCATGTGAAATAAATTAAAATACCAATCATTCTTTTCTTTTTTTCACAAAGAAAAAATTTATACAATTTTTCTGTTTAGTTTTTCTCTCAGTGCAACAATCAAATGGTGTGTAGGGGTTTTCTTTTGTATAGCGCTATATTGAAATTCGTTAACTACATTCTGCGAAAATACTATAATCATCAAACGCACTATTCGAATGCGTAATAAATTACGACGTATGGATTGCAAACAGAATTTATTTATGCCACTATGTAATCTTTTTCTATTTTTCATCTTTAATACTATACACAGTTCTTTTTCTTGTTTACACTGGAGCAGCTGCACTTACACGAATCATTTCAATCAAATATGGATTATATTTTCGGTCATCGGGCGTTGCATTCCATGTTGTCCGTTCACAGACAGGCAGGAAACTATTGATTTTTGTTTTTGTGTAGTTTTGTGCGATGAATACTGATTGAAATTGCCTAGTAACTTGCCTCGTGGCCGGCCAAGATATGCAAATCATGACCCTCTTCTTGTGTCAATGATCCTGCTCGCACCACATGACTTTCCAATGCCACAACCCTGCAAAATTCATTCGAATAATGAAATGAACATAAATCATTGATCAAATGCCAATCATGATCACACATACTTATCACTTCCGAGGAGTCGATACGTTCGACTCTGATCGGTTATCTCCTGCGTTATTTCGCCATTTTTCAATGATCTTCCTTGCATACCATGCTTATGGAATGCTAAAATGCTATCCGGTAAACAAACTGAAACGGAATTATGAAGAAATTAATAAAATTTTACTAGAAAAAAGTGAATACTGTATTGAGAGAGGGAAAAGAAATGAACAAAACCTACCAATACTTTCAATGGTAAAGTCAAACTCTAAATATGATACTAATTTTCTACTTTGTCGTGGATTTCCTTCCATGGTAACAATTTTCAAAGTTCTACCATAGCAAATCAGTATTGCATCTTTGTCGACCTGCACATTCCCAAACGAATGAAAAACAAAATTGATTGAAATGAAAAATTTAATTGGTGTGTATTCGAACTTTATATCAAAACCATTAAAGAAACAATCATTTTCATTCACTTACCTGAAATACCTTTGTCACTTTAATTGGTTCACGTCTCGGAACCATTGTTGCTGTTCGATCGATTTCTAATTCATCGGAATGAAACCAACTGGCACCTGAAAATCATTTTTTCAAAAAAAAAAATAATCCACAAATTAGTATGGAAATCAACGTGGATGTGTGAGAAAAATATGTCTTTTTAAATAAAACTGTAAAACAACCACTGTTCATATTGATGAGGTCAAGTTTAACGCATTCGCCCAGCCCCCTCTTCACGCCGGTACAAACAATTGGATATTCTAGTTCGGGTGTGATAATCATTTCGAATACATTGGTGATGCCACCATTGATTGCCGGATTTACTCCGCTAATATTAACCGCTAATGATGGCCATTCGCAATGTTTTAACAGCATAAATTTATTCAATGGATCATACCATTGCATGAGAAATATACCTAAGGGGAGAATCACAAAAGAAAAGAAGTAATTTGAAATAATCGAAAATAATCGAAATAATCGCAATAATCGAAAAAGAATCAAGAGAAATATACCCGATGCCAATGCACCGCATAAATATTTGTATCCATTGTATGGATTTCGAATCACACAGCATTGTGTACAGCCCTTTGTATCTGGTACTTTAGTGGTGAGCGCAAATTTTTTCGGTACTAAACGTTCGGGAATTCGATTCATATGCACCGAAAAACGGTTGGCATCTTTGGAGTGCAATGCAATCAAATCATGTCGATATAGTTGTGAACTTTTTCCCGATAAACTCATAAGCACATCTTTAATAACATACAACCATGTGGTTCGTCGTGGAAATAATTGATCAATGGCTGCATCATGTAATTCATTCATATTTAAATTGAAAATGCCTTCTTCGGCACCAATCAATAAATGTTGATCTTTTGTTTCCGGATGAATCCATGATGCGGTACAATGTATGGTAAGTGGACAACCGTTGAAAATTTTCGAAAAACATGCGCCCATATGCACTTTGGGCGTTGGCGGTAAACCATTTGAAATAGGACGCGGTGGTGTTTGCCTTCGTCGATGCATTCGCTTCGGAGGCACTGGTGGTGTATTATTCAAAATATCCGGTTGAATCTCCTTTTCACCTTCTGCAAAAAAAAACAAACAAACAAATGTGATCAATACAGTTTTTCAATTCAAGAGTTGCAGTCAATGCGTTACCTTCTTCATGACCTCCATCGCTTAAGCTACGCGTTCGTGTTGAATTGCCCAGATCATTGAATAGGCTCATTAAGCGATCCATTGAACTGTGACGCACCCTCGATTCATCGGTTGGCGATGTATTTGTTGCCGTTGTTATCGATGTTGGTGGTGCTAATGGTGTCGTTGTTGTTATAGCTGCGGTTATTCCAGTTGTTATTATCGTTGAATTTATCACATCACCATTTCTATTGCTATTTGCATTATTGCTGGTTATTGGCGATGTTATATCAAAGCGCCGTAATTCGGTCACATCATAGCCTTGATGGGAAATGTTACTCAGATCAGTTACAATATTCGGTGCATTCAGTTCACTGCCATTGTTGTGATTCAAATTCGACAAATGTGGACACATACAATCGGACAATTCTTTGGTGTCAGTTGTTAAGGGTAGTGTAGCTCTGCAGAGAGTATTTTTTGTACAGTTTTTGATTTGTTTATACATTGTTTATTTTTGTCGGTATGTATTGTATGTTCAGTTGTGTAAAGAACGTAGGTGGAACACATTTGTGGGCAAAAAAACAACAAATAAAAAAATAAATTAAATCAAATGAAAATTTAAAGAAAAAACACGTCTTTTTTACATTTAACTCTTTTTTTTACATTAAAACTAATTTTTATTTGTTGACTGTGTCTTGTATGTTTAATTTACGATGATGATGGATATGAATGAATTTTCTATGAGAATGGATTTTATTATGCACACTCAACAATGATAGACCTCTTTTGGGAGTCATGGAATGAGGCAAAATACAGAAATCATAGTGGGTAAATTTATAAGAAAATATGAGCGTAGTGATATTTTTTTTACTGGCATGCATAAAACAAATTTAACTATGAATAGAGAACAGAATATACGTTATTAAACAAAATATATTAGCGATATGATATGATGTACGGAAAATAAATGGTTGAACTTGCTCGAATGCAACTTAATAGTCGGGTTGGAATGAGGCGAGAAAGAAAAAACAACAAAATACTACATGCATATGAAATTCTTGATGATACTTTTTACATTAGAAAAAAAAAACATATTTAGTGGCCCAACGTATTTACGGAATTTAATTTGTTTGATTCGAAAAAAGGTCAATTGTTTACGGAACATAAACATTAAATTACCTTAATTTAAGCTCCTCATCGATATATTGCAAGAGGCTCCTACAATCAAAAATCAATTGTAAAATTTGTGTCAAACTCAAACAATGACAAAACAACAGAAAAAAAAAATATCGTACACAAATGAGTGAAGAAAAAAAAAACAAACGTGAAAACTAATATTTTCAAACAAATCCGATCATTTTGTCAATTTAATCGCACGTTTTGTTAAAATGAAATTTGAATATTTGATTTCTCTTCGAATTCTCTTTTTTTTTTGAAATCGTGCGAAATTTTGGCAAATCGAGAAAAAATTGGATGAAATCATTATTTTTTTAAAAAAATCAAATTTGTTCAGAATTTGTTAAAAAATACGGTGAAATTGAATTAAAATAAGAACGGAAAATGGTTGCTACAAATGTCACACAAAAAATTCCAGAAAATCATAAGGAATAAAGTTTTTTTCGCGAATCACACAGATTTGAGCAAAAACGAAAAAAAAATACATGGTGAAAATTAAAGTATCCACTTTTTACTCTTTTTAAGGACATATTTAAAATAGTTATTCACTCCACGCAAAAAACGGCCTTAAATTCATGAATAATAAATTGACATTGCGTGTAATTCAAAATAAATCCTTCAGATATTTGAGACCGAATTTGTTGCACATAAATATTCGTATACATTATTTTATCGCCGTAAAGTTAGTGAATGAAATTATTATTTGTATTATTATTTCAAGTTTGTTGTTGCCTCCTTAATAAATGAGTCGATGTATTATTATTATCAGTTTGTGATTTGGATTAGTTTTTGATTGAGGCAGAGTTAACAAAGTTATATCATGGCGAGATGGTTAGTTTTGATTTGTCAGCAGAAGAGAAAGAAAATGCAAAACACGTGAAAAAGAAAAATTAATAAAGCAATAAATTTATAATTTAACAATGTGATCAATTGAGCTCATTATTGATTGCCAGCATTGGCGGTGTGAGGTGGTGCACTTCAAATTCTCGAAACGAACCGTCGAAAATAAAATACACAAATATCATTAGAATTGAGTCAATGGTTATTTTTAACAGAAAATTAAAAGCAACTGAGAATATATTATGGCCATTGCCTTGAATAAAATTACATTACAATCCGCAATAAAAGCATTTGTTTCAGCCAATTCTCTCTCATTCCATGTTGGCAAACACATATGGCTATTTTTGAAAAGAACAAATGCAAATCATCGTAACATAAAACACAAAATACAAACAAAGAAAGAAAAACAACTAATTGAGAGAAAGAGAGAAAAAACAGCACACTCTCAGTGCAAAAAAAAAAATATTGAAGGAAACATTTGCGGCCAACCTTAGAGTCATTTGAAACAGCATTGTGCCGGTCGCTTTGGAATGTTGACGTCGATTATGACGACACGTAGAATTTTTTAGTTTTCTGTACATCCGTTATACATTTTGAATTGAAATGAACAGAGAAAAAAAAAAACACAGAATACTGCATAAGATGGAAATTATAATACAAATTGATTTGCTTAATTTCAGTTGAAAATTGTTTTCGAAAGTTTGTGTGTTTAGAGACGACGATGTCATTTTCCATTAATTTAAATTGAAAATGTCTTTAATAATTTATTGCTTTTAAAAATGTCTTTCATTTCTTCATTTTCTGGATGTCGAACCAAAAGAGACTTGTTTATTATGTGAATAATGCTGAAATCAGTTTTGTGCTTAAATTGAGATTATGTGATAAGATTTTGCGCGCGCGAGATATACATGAAAAATCGAGCAGATTTAATGCGAATCAAATCTAGATGCTTTTCTCCACTTACATATCACTCGGTAATGTTTCGGGACTTGATGATCGTCCATTACTCCATTGCGACGATGATGCAGCTAGTAAAAAGAGAACCATAAATACATATACATAAGTATAAATCAAGTGGGTTGGACGAAGAAAACAAACAAAAGAATATGGAAAATTTAAAGCGCATGAAATGGATAGAGACAGTGGGGAGACAATGTGTTTCTTTACATACCATTTTTAATGGTGTGATTTTGTTGATTTTTCGCCAATCCATTGCTGCGACTAGACGTTGCACGGCTGGCAATGCGTTGCGGTACATTGTTCGGTATGCCGGATAGATCGTCATCGCCATCCGAATAAAAATCAAATTGATTTGGGCTCAAATATTTTTGCAATAGTTCTTTAACGATGCGCACCGACATATCGCACATAACAAATGGATGCGATAGTAATTTTTCGGCGGTTGGTCGCTTTTTTGGATTTTTTGTTAGCGCTGTTTTGATAAACGAATGAAATGTTGGCGACCATTTCTCTTTTTCTTTAAGCGTGGGTGGTTTAAAGCTACTTTTTGACATTAAAAACAATGCACGCATCGGATGTAAATCAAACATGGGCGGCTGCAGTTCAGCCAACTCAATGGCCGTTATGCCAGTCGCCCAAATATCACATAGTTGATTGTAGCCACCTTTTCGTTCGACGGCTGCTACTTCTGGCGCCTAGAATTGAACATTATTTTTCTTTTTATGTGTGTGTGTGTGTATGTGATGTATAAATAATAAATTATGTTCGTTTTTCGAACTTTATTTTCGATTTTATCATCGACTTCATTTATGCACACTTACCATCCAATAAGGCGTTCCAATGAAACTTCGTCGTTTATTGATTGTGGCTGTTATCTGTGCTGATACACCAAAATCCGCTAATTTAACATCACCATTTTCTGTGAGCAATATATTGGCACCTTTAATATCGCGATGCATTTTATTCTTCGAATGCAAATATTCCAAACCCTTCAATGTTTCTTTACACATATATGCGATTTGTTGTTCATTTAATGGACCAGTTACTTGATAAATATCTTGTAAACTGCCACCACCACAGTATTCCATGCATATCCACAATTTACCACGTCGTAAATATGAACCAAAATAGGCAATTATATTCGGATGTCGACAATCTCGCATCATTATTATTTCCTGTTGTATGACTTGAATATCATCACCCGGCTCGATTTTAATTACTTTTATTGCTGCTAACTCATTGCTTTGGATACGTTTTGCCTGTGAAATAGAATAAATAACATTTTATTAACATCATTTATAGTCAAATATACTGATATAGACTCTTTCAGACTCCGTTTATTCACACTTGAATGCATGCACATCAAAAATGCTACCCTTCAATTCAGGAATTTGATGTTCGTACTATGGAAATACAGTGAAAAGTGGAAAAAAACGAACACAGTTTCTATTTCGATCGGGCAAAAATCCAATCTCATGACGGAAATTCCAATACATTTTCATATTGCATGCACATTCGCACATTCCTAACATTCAATTGATATGCTGTGCTGCGCTGTGCACTCAAAGTACAATCGCCCATGTTTGTTTTCATGTTCGTCATAATAGCATTATCAGCAGACAAAATTCCGTATTTTATCATTACATAAATGGAACAACACCTGTGTGAATGTTTTGTTGTTGTTTCATCATTGTCATCTCTCTTTCTCTGCATAAAATTTTTTCCGTATTGAAATTTGCAAACTTTTCAGCCTTGAATTTTGTTTTGAATTTGAAGAATGCGCCCAAGACAAACAAAAATTGCAAAACTCATAATAAAAATCGTATATATATCGCAGACATTCGCCAAAAATAATATAAATGTGTGCTCGATTATTGTGCCCCGATACAATACGTCTCAAATTGAAGACGAAAACAAAACTAGTTGAAGAAGTTTGTTGTTATTTCATTTTGTTGTGTCGGTATATGTGTTTATGATTCAGACTAATAAAAAAGTCATTGATGACGACAACGATGGCGATGTATTTTCGCTGTTCAATATGTTTTACTTTCGATTTTATTTCATTCAACGGTGAACTTTTTCAGTTCCCATCTGTTCAAAAATTCTTTTTGACTTGGTCCTTTTCTTATGCTGTACGCTTTACATGATGAAACATAAATTGTTGGAAAATTTTCTAGGTTTTTTTTCTCTCTCTTTACATAGGCTTTTTACATGTTCGAACCGTCGAATCCGGCGCTAGTCTAGCTAGTATATGTGCAATACCAACAATTTTATGATAAAGTTGTCAAACATTATATATTTTTTTGTTGTCGTCGTTGTCGATTATTTCGACATAAAATGTCGGAGTAAAAAAGATGAAGACTCACAATGACGACAACGACGCCGCGTAACATAAACGATTCAAATATAATGAAAATTGCTGACAAACATGTCAGCTGTAGCGGTATGTGCACAAAAAGGCGGCTTATAAAACGGAACCATACGTATTTACATTGCAAAGATAGAGAGAGAGAAAGAGAATGTGTTGATGTATTAATAAAGAGAGATGAAGAATACCAAAGGGAAAAATCGCAACCCAAGCAATCAAACATGCAAAATACTTGATACATATTTTAATCCATGTATAAGGCGTTTGGCTAGCGCAAATGACCCAGAAAAAAATGGATTGTAAACCAAGCAATCCACATTTTGGTTCTCTCTCTCTCTCTCTCTCTCTCTCTCTCTCTCTCTCTCTCGATTTGTGTGTAGAAAAAGTTGAAACAACGTTGTTACACATGTGCGTACCAAGCATATTTAACCAACCAGTTGGTGAGCGAAAGAGCAAGAGCATCGCGATAAAGCACGTTACATGATTTGAAATTGTTGGTTTAAGTGCTTAGGGTGCTTTCGTATATGAACTTTTCTCTGCTAACCCAACGATAAACTCTCAACGAACATTTATTCTATTAGCACGCAGACACATTCACATACAAAACGCCAAAAAAATGATATTCAGACTGGGTGAATATAGCTGGCGTAATATATGTTTCATATAAAAATGTCAGAAAGATCTTTTCATGTTCAGAGGGAAGTTGATGATTACAAAAGCACATCTACATACACAATGGCCACGCCAATGCTTAACAACACACAAATTATTGTCACACACCGATAATCGTGACAACGGCATACGACATCGAAAAAAAATTAGATCTATGAAATTGCTTTTTAATTCACTTTCTCCTTCACTGACGAAATGCATGAAGAAGACGAGAAATATGAAAATCGCAACTGCCAGGTCTTCTCATTGGTATGTTAATGACAGAAGAGAAAGAGAAAGAGAGAAGAAAAAAACTTGCGAATCGTGTGTCCACGCAAAACCAAAACGACATACAATTACACATCAACCCAACAAAATGCATGAATGTAGCAACAACACATCAACTATATTACACACATTTAATTGCCTTCGCTGTGATATTATATCTATGTATAATATATGCATTTTATTTCTATATTTTAATTTGTGTGTTTCATTGCGTTTGGTTTGAGTTACGTGTTTAAGAGCTATGCACCTGTATCCGCGGGCGAACGGGTGCAAAGTATGCACAAAAATCTTTCTTTTCGCATTTTTGTGCATGTAGAGACGATGAAGAAAGGAGCATGATCAGCTCGCACTATCGAGCAAACAATGAGACTTGTCGAGCGTACATAAAGACACCATCAGTCGAACCGAAAGTGCACGAGTCAACATAAATGCAACTGAACAGAATTGAAAACAAGAACACTTACCTTGTAGACATCACCATAAGTGCCGGAGCCGATCTTTTGAATCAATTCGTATTCATCTTGTGGATTTCTCCGTGATATATCCGAGCTAAGCAAATTGCTTGAATTTGCCATTGAAGTTGAACCGTGAGCGGATGCCATGATTCCTTTGTCTTTCTGTATTCTTCTGTTTCGCAGAGTACGTTGTGTGTGTGTGTGTTAAGCGAGCGAGCGCGCGCTCAATTGCTGCACTAATGCGTTTTTTTCTTCTTACTTCTGGATTTTGATCAATTGATTTTTATGCGTCAACTTTATTCAGTGTTAACACTCCTTCTTTTGTTTTGTTTGTCGTCGTTATACTATTGCTGTCGTAGCTTCAGCTATTGTTGATGTTCAGCGTTATTTTGTCTTGTTTCGAATTTAAAAAAAAACATTCCCGGGTAAATAACGTCAGATTTTCTCTTGTTTCTGGTAATAAATAATTGACGTAACTACCGATTGAATTGAAAACATATCGCATTTGCCTTTAAATCCTCTTCATTTGACATCTAATAAAAAAACACGTTCATTTCTCTGATGCATTTGTATATTAGAGTGAAAAATTCGCTCGCTCTCTCTGTATATGTGTGTGTGTGTGTGCGCGCAAAAGAGATGATAGATGCTCTGCTAAATTATATCCAATTTACGATTGAAATAAATATGCCACTGATAAAGTAGCAAGAAATTCAATAGATTTGTTTTGTTGCTATTGTTGTTTGCATTTTATGGCCCAGTTGTGTCATACAGGAATAAACGAGCTTGATGATACACGTATCCCATTCAGTGAAGAAAACGGTTGTGGCGTTGCGTTCTCTTGTATATAAGTGTGTAGATTATTGTTGTTTTTGCTGTTATAGCTCGTGTGCAATTTTCAATTCGATAAAACACATTCTTTTCGATGTAACATTGTTGTTGTTGTTGTTCATTTTATCTAGTACGATTGTGATTCGATTCAGTGATTATTAAAACTGCCAAAATCGGAAATTTCTCTTCATCATGATGATAAAATTTCACGCAAACGAAACAGAATCATTAACAATGCGATCGGATCCGGTAAATGTGTTTTTTCTGGTCTTGAATTTCTTCTCTCGTTCACTTTTTTTTATCGCTTGGTGTCTATGAAAAATGTGCACGTATACGATGAAATAGGCTCTATTTCAAACCGTTTTATATATTCACATTTGGAAGTCGATGACAACGGTGATGACGAAAAAATCAAATCAAGAGGAATTTCATAAAAATTGAATTTGTACGATGTGTTTGTCGCGCGCTGTTGTTTTTTGCTTTCTTTCCTTCTTACTATCTTTCTTACTCGTCACTTTTTTTGTCACAATATGAATGATTGTTATGTGTATGTGTACTGAATCACAATGACTTTGGTGTCATTTACATTTGCAATTGGCAGTTTTAATTCATTTGTTCATTTAAATTGCACTTCTCTTCACTATCTATGACTATGCCTTTTTTCTGTCACACTTTATTCTCTATATTTTTTTTCCTCTCCTGTTAAATGCGATTTTTTTTTAAAATTATACAGTGTCGTGAATAAATGATAAATGTCAACATTCTTTGCGTTCAAATATGAACCTCAAACACGAGACCAGAAAAAAAAGAGCACTGAATGTATTGCAAAATTGCATTCACATTGTCCGTGGCAAGAGGAACAAAAATGACTACACTCTCTTTACACATGTGACTGTGGTGCTGGCTGTTTGGCCCCTTGTTCATAGCCCATTTGATTTGTGTCACATAATATACCAAAACACATCGAGTCAACACATAAATTGGCTTACATACACATACATATGCCCGTGAAAGAGAGACGAAGAAATTATGCGAAAGGAAAAACAATTCTCGGTCATACAATTTTCAGATAAAAACACAATTCAAATTATGGCAAATTGTCCCAACAACATTTGCGGTCACTTTTCATTTTATCGTAATGCATGATTAACTCAATGAGATGAACCTTAACATCTAATTAAAATCGTTATAAAAACAACAGCGATGACGACGTCGGGCGAGAGCAAACAGAGAGAACAAAAAAAAATGTACATTAAAGTGTCGTAACAATGAACGAATTACGCACTCGATTTAAAATTGTTCACTCATTCTTTTAAATAGTGTTCTATGTCTCTCCGCAAAATAGAAGCAACAAAAAAACTACACACTTGTCAAAAAAAATACACCAAACAGCATGAAAAAAATTCCACCACAATGAAATTTTCAATTTGCTAATCAACTTAAATAACAAATCAAACAATCGAACACACCAAAATGAACACAAATTCTCTTCTCGATTGGAACAGAGTAGTTATAATACGTTGGTATTGTTGTTTTTTTTATTTTCTCTCACTTCACAGATAGTTTTTTGAATTTGTTGCAGCTGTCACGAAATTGTTTTTTATATGATTTTTTTTTTAAATGCTCGCTGCAGTTTAATGTAAACTGCAAAAAATGTTCAAGTCTAATGGTATTGAGAACGCGCACAAGGAACCAATAGACAAAAATTCCCTTTTGTTTATATAGTTAAACTCGTATTCAGATGATATACATATAATTTTTTATTCTTTATTGTATTTTCCACTTGTGAGTGGATTATTGAAAAGTGCGACAATTTGTGTGTTGTTTTTCTCCCTCGGTTCGACGAGTTACTGTTCTCTCACTGCTGTTACTGCTAAATTTCTGTGTGCCTACGAGTTGGGACATTGTATGAGTGAGAGAAAAACGTCGCCATTTGCATTATTCACATACATTTACGAACTGTCGTCTTTCGATTCGAATACATGTCTTTGTTGGCTGCTGCTATATGATTCACATTGGTGTCCGTTAGACAATTCAATTCATTTGAACCTATGTGTGCATCAAATTTACATGTTCTATTTCGTATTGAATATTCTTTAATCATAAGTTGTACAATATGCCGAAATCGTATCGGCTTGATATTTTTCAAAATTCTCGAAAAATTCATCTAATTGGAAAATAATTGAGATTAAAAAAAAAACAACAAAATAAGTGTTGTGCACACATACACGCCCAGTTTTACATCAAATGGATTTTTTGACAACTGAAATGTCATTTTCAGTGCATTGCACAGAGCACAGCATGTATGTGTATTTATGTGTATATGTATGTGTCTGAGAAGATAATTTGACAAGTGCGCTCTGACATTTCGCCTATGGAGCTGATTGTGTGAGAGAGACATGAAAATTGTTTCGTTTTTTAACTAGAATATTTCGTCAATTCAAATATAAGGCGATTTTCCATTTAAACTTAAGAAAATCTTTAAATCGGAGATTTGTCGACACTTTGAAATGCCGCTTTCATTTTCTGAAGAAGGTGAACAGCTCGCCGATAAATCACCGTGTGCAGAACTTCGAGCTCGATTGAAAATGTGCCTATTGGACAGTGACTGTTGTAAAAAGGTAAATTGTTGATGCTTATTTTATCATTCCAATTCGACTAAGTAAGGAAACTTATAAAAATTGTTCAATTGATTTTTTTAGGAAAAGGTGTTGCCTCGTGATTGCTTGAAACGGAAAGATAATACAGTACCTGAAGAATGTCATAAATTGAACTACACATTTTTCGAATGCAAACGATCAATCGTACGTACTAATTTGATTTTGTATTTATCAAGTCAGTTGTATTAATTCACTCCGTCAATTAATTCTTACCTTTTTCTAGTTGGACATGCGATCCAGATTTCGTGGCCGAAAGGGAGAAAACTATGACTAGTCATTAAACCAATTTTTGAGAGCTAATTTTGTTATATAAAGATTTGTAGGTTTGCCAATTTAAGAAGACAAATAAATATCCAAGTGATAATAATAAAGTACGATGTTTGTTCATTTCTGCAATTTTGTGTGTGTGTTTTTTTTATTTAAATAAAAGTTTGTTACTTGTTTTTTTTTATTTGGTTTTAACACTGTGACTTATGGTGAGCTGACACACTCTTCAAATTATGTTCACTGACTCTTACAGTATCAATAGATAGGAAAGAATGAAAATTGTTTTAAATTATTTTTGTTTTGTTTTTAAATAAAAAATAAACTAAATTAAACGAAAATGTTGTTGATTAAGTGAATTTCACCCATTTGAGTACATTAAGGTTTGTAAGATGTGTGTGTGTGTGTGTGTGTGCGCAAACATACAATTTAGATTCTTTCTGGCATGTGTTATCATTGGTTGTTCACTGCTTTTTCTATGTCCCATGACGTGTGAGTGTATGTGCTATTGTATTATGTATTAACATCTAAAATCAGTTCTTTTTCGTCATATTATTTGTGATATTCGATAAGATTTGAGGCATTTTATATGTAATCATTATCGAAAGCTCAAGATCGATGACTCTTTGCCGATGATGGTGATGATGGTGATGATATTGTTGATGGTGATGTACTGGATGCTGACGATGATGAATACATTCGATGCGTGACAAAAAAATCTCGAACAATTTTGAATAGTGTATGATAGTTGGCCAAAACTAAATAACTTAACGAGATAATATTGTGCCATTCAACAACCATAAACAATATGACAACTTGTAGTATTACAATTACAGACTGAACTATGGATAAAATGAGATAAATATTTGATGGATTTTGGAAGAACATCTGTGAAGAAGAAGAAAAAGCAAATGTTTCGTATTAGATGATGGATTTGAATGTTAAATCATTGATTGATACTTACATAGAATCGTATATGAACACCGTTGGCTGGAATAGCAGTTGTGACCGCACCATACGATTTAAATAGTTCTCCTGAATGCTTAACAAATTGACCAGGTGGATAAAAGACTAGCTTCTGCCATGCCACTGCTGGCGGTGAATATGATCGTGTTTCCACTCGTGTCCATTTGCCCAAATGCAATGATGCCATATGCATTACATCACAATAATTTGCCGGAAAACAGAACATTGTACACATTGTAAAACCGCCTAACACTAAAAATCCCAAATGTTGTGTGGCCCAATACAAATCATAGTACAAGAAACTTTGTGCAAAACAACATGGAATAAATGCACCATAGTATGCATTCAACAGTGATGTGAATACAACTTGTTTGAACCGATTGTTATAATCTGTGCGTAACAAATCGATTTCAGCTCGAATCACCGTCGGATTGGTTGAACATGAATGTGATGGTATGCCATTGAAATAAGTCGATGATTCTGTTTCAAAAATTGTCCGCAAGAATGGTTCAATTTGTGTGCCAAATGTTATCAGATAAACAATCATCGGATAGCATAAATAAATTACAATATACCGTTGCTTCGGAAACATTTGATAGCACAGATATCCCAGCACAGAGATGATACCTATAAAAAAGGTGAGTCTAAAATGGGTCGCGTTAATGGAGAATGCGTCACTTAAATTTCGTTTCAATTTCATAAAATGGACATTACGTTTTCTTACCTTGCAACTTTTACGGCAATCTGATACACCTGTTTTGGGCATATCATTTCCAGTATTCCTAATAAAAAGCAGTACATAAACCGTCGTCCTAATAATATCACTATGAACAATGTTAGATGTCCATCAATCAGGTAGAAATTCTGTAAGGAATCATTTTTAAAATTCATACATAAGATGTTTTAAAACTCAAATCAAATGGAAAATGCATGCGCATTCAGTGGCATTACCATTGTTTGATTTGTATTTGATTCAGGTATCCACCAAACCGTTCGATATAGATGTAAGAATTGCATGGCTGTCGCAATTATGGTGTAGATAAAAATCATCAATTCATTGACTAATTCAGAGCTATACGGCACGTCTGGAAACCGAATATGTTTCGGTTGCAGTGGATAACTAGTGAATCCATTGCCATTTGATAATTCATGTTCACATTTATTCGATTGATTTTCATCATATTTAATCGCAGTATGTCCTTTATTTGTGGCCAATAGATCTGTACTGCCATTTGTATCGTACTGAATCAATGACTTGTTGCTATTATTTAAACTGTCATTCAAATTTGTGGTACTGGTATTTGATGATGGTGAATTTATACTCAATTCGGATGTATTGTTGCTGTTGTTGCCATTTCCAAATGTTGATTGTTGCGCCTGAATGAATAAAATAGACAAGTGTCATGCCATTAGTAACAAAAACAACAAAGAAACATTAGATTATTGAACTGTCGAAAATGTGTGTTATCTTACCAATGACCGTGCACTGCGATTTATTCGTCGATATGCGGACATTTTATGCTTTTAAAATATAAAATGTGTGATGATTATTTACAATGTTCACGCGATCAAATCCTTTTGTTTTGTCGATGAAAAAAAAATTGTTTTCTGTCTATCTAACGTAAATCCTTCAACAATTCACAACATATTATTTCGAGACACGTTTTTTTCCTTCACCATTTTGACAAACCAAAAAACGAAAAAAAACATTAAATAATATATCACCAAATCTATATAACACGACCAAATAAAATATGTGGTATATGGAATGCGACCGATTTTTGTTTCTTCAACGAAAAACCTGATCGTGTGTATTTGGAGATGTGATTTTTTTCTCTCTTTTTCTCTCAATCGGTCCAATTGGATTCTGCTTTGCAGCAAATGACAAATGTCAACTGCTGGCTGACGGTGTTCGCGATGCCGGCAATAATACAAATGATTCTTTTTTTTATCTATCAAATTGTGTGTTTGTATTATTTATTTCTGTTTTTATTTCTCTCCGTGTTATCAAATTACAATTTAAACCGAGCTCCAGTATACGTCGCTCTTCATATGACTCTCTTCTCTTACGTTTGTCTTTTCAATGCACACACTCACTATTGTATAGAGACAGAGCACGAACAAAATACAACAACAAAAACGAATGAATGCTGAAACCGACGTGTTCATACTTAAACAATAACACGCAATGTTTTCTTTTGGCACCGTATATCGTTTGAATTGTCAAAAAATTACCCAAAACACCACCATCGTTCGTTGTGAACACATCACATTTCAAACTACACATTACCGTTTATCGCATCAATTTCTCGTGGATGGTCCCATTAAATACATGCGAATTGTAAGATTCTGACATTTTTTTTTTTCAATTTGCGAAACGCAATTTGTTTCGAGCAAACAAAACTTAGCAATGATTTTTATTTAGAAAAAAAAGAGCAATTAGTTAAATATTACTTTGACATCAGAATAGAGGTCGTTACTAGTTACTAAAAAAACAATGACATTTCATGAAAACTACTCAGCGTTTGTTTTGGTTTTATTTCACCTCCGTTCTTCTTCTCTATCGTGCACCGAAATAAAAAGAATATATGAAATATTGTAGTGAATCTATTTTAAGTGCATGTTCATACTAAAGAAAATGAAACCGAGCTGTTGTCCGTGAATGTATTAAATTGCGAGTTTAAAAATTGTTCGTAACATTTTTGTTGCCATTGCAAGAAATCGATTATTTTACACAATACGGCATCAAACAGCTTGTTTCAAATGTGCCGGATGATTTCACTTACACTAAGGAATTTTATCATACGAGTCTCTATGACAAAAAAAGTAGCTAGTTAAATCAAATGAATTGGACGAGGCACAAAAAGTCTTTGGTTCCGATAAAATATGTGCAAATTGATTATTACGTACTTTGATTCAGTTTAAGGAATATTCACGCGAATCGAAAGAGACAGCAGCGGTGACAACGAGATAACAACACAACATAAAACATACGGCAAATATGGATTTTATGATATTTGCAACAGTCATATTGGCCATTTATTTTGTGCTGTGGTTTTTCGATTCATTTTTCAAGGTATGCATATTCGATGAAGAAGATAGACAAAAAAATTGTGTACACTAAATATATTCTATGTTTTTCAATAAATTTCAGAGTTGTATGCATTATCCATATGAGGCATTTTTGAATGGCACGGGTTTAACTATAAAACCATTTCGCATTCAATGGTATACAATTATTTTTCGATTATTTGTTGATTACTTTAAATGAATTCTTTTCTTTTGTGATTCTCCCCTTAGGTATACAACTGCATTGAATCGAATCACCATTAAATGGGCGCACGCCTATCCAAAATTGTTTACACTTTCATTTGACATCGGTGTATTTTCATCAATTTGCCTGTTACCAATAATGTTACTGTGGCAAATGAAACCGTACATTGTGGATGCATTCACAAGTACGGTAAAAACGATGTCGTCATCTGGTGTGATTGCAGCAGTCCCGGCATCCGCTGAAAGTACAAATGCAAAAGGTGGCGTTCACTTTGAACTGATGTTACCCGGTGTAAATTTACCATTTGATGAAATTAGTTACTATGTTATAGCGTAAGTTTTGTATTTGAGAATGTTTAAATAATATTTTTTGCGAAAAGCGCGTAAATGGTATGTGTCTGTTTTTCTATTGTTCTTCTTAGAATGGGAGTATGCAGTGTGGTACATGAAATGGGTCATGCATTTGCTGCTGTATTGGAAGATGTGCCTCTTACCGGTTTTGGATTTAATGTGCTACTTGTGTTGCCAGTTGCCTACACGCACATCAATTCAGATCAACTGAATAGTTTACGAACGTGGCGTCGTTTGAGAATACTTTGTGCTGGCATTTGGCATAATATTTTATTGGCTGTTTTTTGTTTTGCTCTAATGTCATTGCTGCCAATTTTATTTACACCATTTTATAGTATCGATCAATCGGTTATTGTGAAAAGTATGAAAAGTGATTCGCCGCTGGCCGGTGGCGAAAAAGGGCTTGCCGTCAACGATGTCATTACATCGATAAATGGTTGTGACATTAAAAATATCGAAACATGGTATGGATGCTTGGTGAATACAATTAAAGAACCACCATCATACTGTATACCATCCGAATATGTATTGGATCATGATGAATCGGTGCCGGTGTCACATACCAACGATGGTGTTATCGAATGTTGTGATCGAACGAATGAGAAAAATTTATGCTTTGAATACATGAACGAAGAAGGTTCATATAGTTTAATTGAATTACCACAATTTATGTGCTTAAATATACGCAATACAATCGATCATTCGATGGGCTATTGTCATCGAACGCGTGGCAAATGCAAAGATAGCTATTGCATAAAACCGATGATGAATAATTCAACGACGCTTATGCAAATCAAACGAAATGATAAACGGGATGTCATGTATATTGGACATCCGTCGGATTTGGCCTATACAATTCGGGTATCGTTATTGATTCTTTTTCGATTATATGTTTTCGATTATTTGTCGATTATTTTAAATTAATTCTATTCTTTTCTTTTGATTCTCCCCTAGGTATCGGCATATGTGCCATACACCATTTTGCTCAATTCAAATGTTGCCGATGGAATTTCATTGATACTCAAGTACCTTGTGGTGTTTTCACTTGGATTGGCAACGCTCAATGTAATACCATGCTTTTATTTTGATGGTTACTACATTACCAGTGTTACGGTAAATCATTTATTTCAACATTTTATACCCGAACGCAATCGACGCGAATGCATTACTATTGCTATAACATCAATTGGAACGCTTATACTGTTTGTAACTTTATCAAAAAGTGTTTGGCATTCAATACTTCAATATGCATTTTAAGAAGAAGAAGACGAAAAAAATTATCGGCCATCTACCGAAATAATTTATTCAAAAGCTTTATTTTGTACACAAAGCTGCAAAAGAGACATAAAAATACGTATAATATGTAGCCAATAAATATTATTTGCAAAAGACGTAAAAGAACGATCAAATTGAGTCTACTGTCGTGCGACAATAGACATTTTGATTTGCTCACTTCGCTAGTTTTTTTTATGAAACAAAGAAAAAATGATTTTGTTTTTAAATTAGAATTTATTCATGCCAAAAATTAAAAGAAAACCCTGTAATTGTTTAAGACCAAAATACAAAATAAAACGTGTCATTTTCTTTTCAAACAATCATAACTCAACATTTACTAACTTTTCTATTACTTTTTACAATTTTATTAATAAATTATACGTCAGATAGGTCACATTTGATTTTATCCTCGCTATTTTCCGGCTGGTTTTTCTTTATTTGATTGCGGTGCTATGCCACTTAAATCTAAATTAGTTTTTAGTTCTTTAAGTGATCGTTGACCATGTTGTAATAACATTTTTATGGTTAATTCTTCCGTGTGATGCATATTCGCACGAAAATCCGATCGGGTCCATTGTTTTAAATCATTTCGGCTTGACTCTTCCGGTACGAATCGAATCGAACGAAAAATATCACGGTACAGCTTTAACACCTCTTGTCGGAGCATGAACTACAATGAAGTAGATAAACTTAATAAAAATTTCAAAGATTTTTATTTATTTTGTGAATTTTGTAAAACCGAATTCCATTTCAATTTAAAGCAGACAAGTTCATTCTAAAATGTCCTTCTCTCCATTCACTATTGTCTTTTTTCCATAAACATCTTAGTTAACATTGACGTTTTTGTTCTCAATGTATTTCAACTCCTGTCAATATTACCTGTTTAAATGACAGGGTGGGTTTGGTAAATTTGCTCATTGTATTGCCCAACTGATTTTTGAAAACACGAAAAAAAACTTGCCCAAGTTTAAAAATGCATCACTTTTGGATGCTAGTCGGTCGGGTCCAATGTTTACAACTTAAAAATATCTTAATTTGACAGTCAGACTGATATGGTTAAAATATTAAAGCAGTGAGTATGTTTAATTCTCTTCTCACTTTTACATATTGTGCCTTGCATGGAGACGGTCGTTGTTTGTTTGCATTCTTTCAAATTCGGTTTTGATAAAGCTAAATGTATCGTTACAATATACAATTACCGGAATTATCCATAAGCTTTGTATCCGTATTCCGCATAGCGCATTGCACGCGACATGAATGCGAAAATGTAATTCGTACTACCCAAATATTCGAATTAGAAATGTAGAATGTGGAAAAAGAGAGATACGGTTACATATTAACAACGTAACAACGTACATATATGTATAGCCCACAAACGGCAAAGAATACCAAACGTTGTGTTATTGTGTATGCGCACGCCAGTCAAAACAACACTCAATACAAAATGCTCGATCTCTGTTTCTGTTGTTGATGTCACAGATTGAGTTAGGCGGCTTAAGATGTATGGACTATAGTCTTGAACATAGACTGCTATCGATAGGACGTGTAAGAACGGATGCGAAACATTTACCGCTCGATTGAAATCATCAGTTATCATTGTTTTTGGGTGCGAACTTCTTTGAATTTAAATTTAAATTAAAAAGTAATGGATTTTTAAACAATTTTTTTTGAATAATTCCGATTTTCTGTACGCGTGGAAATGTGAAGTGATCATCGCTTTTTTTTATTTGTAACGGAACACATTCCGAAAAAGTTGCGAGATAATTTTGTGTTAATTTGTGTGATTAAATTGAACGAAATTATCCGATTTATAGTTGAATTAGCCGAAAATGATGGCGATTGATTGAAATAAAACAACAACAAATATGATCGTTGTGGAATTTTCAGATGCTATTGATAGTTAATAGAGATCATTATTTACATAGCACGCTTTAAATCAATCGACAAAATGAAAATCAACAACAACGGCATCCAATGAAAATCAAAAAGGATTATTATTTCGGAAAATTTGAATGGCATGGGGCATGATATGTATTGCTGCATGTAAAGTACACCAAATTTTAAAAATAGCTACAGTGTTTGCGCGCGAGAGAGATCTCTTTTTTTTCGCTCCCACTCCGAGAGTGCATCGTGTGTGCAAATAAACACCATTCAATAAAAATAATTTCAGACCGAGAGAGAGAGAAACTGCAAAAAATTCGTAGCACATGCACTCTGCTGCGTTTGTGACTAAATCGCGAAAGGGACGAGAACAAAAACAAATAAACCAAAATGTGTGAAATAAGTAAGCAACACGATAGAGACGAAGAAAAAAAGAAAAAAAATGAACGCAAAAATATTTAATTATTTAAAAAAATAAATGTCCCGTTGTAAACAAAATTAAAATAAAATAAAAGGAAAGAAAAACACACACTCATACACCAAACGATATATAAAGCCAATTTTTTGCTTGTCACAGTGCTAAACAGGATTTTAACATTCACAACAATAAATACGAACAGAAAAAAAACTAACCGACAACAACTTTTATGACTTTGGCTATGAAGAAAGATTGTGTTCGTGAGACAAGAATGAAAGAGAAAAAAAGTAGTGTGTGTGTGTGTCATAAAAACGGAAAAATTCAAGGAGATTTCTTGTAATAGATGGAAATTTGATATTTAATTTGATCATTCTCTGAGTAACATATAGCGCAAAAAAAAACAAGACCGACAAGATAGTCGTAAACAACGTGACTCAACGGATTTCAACAGAATTTTTTTGTCAGCCATAAATATATGCAGATGGTGAATTTATAGACAAAACGATCTCGCTGACACCAAGTTAAATAACAATTTGCTTTTATTTTTCTCTCGCATCAAAGCTCTCGAATCTCTTAGAAGAGAATGTCCGCAAAAACATCACCACTATTGATGAAGATTAAAAAAGAAGTTAACGAAGAAATCAAGGTAATTAATTTCGATAGATGTGTTTTGTTTTTTGAAAATATGTCAAATGAAAAATTAAATTATGAAAATTAACTGTCAACTTTGACAAAACGAAGAATTTGGGCCGCACTATAAACGTTTGACTTTATGCATTTCAAAAACTATGATTAATTTTGAATGTTCAAGCATTATTCATTTTTGTGCACAGTGAATTTATGATGCGTGTGTGGGCGTTCAAATGAGAGAGAGAGAAAGAGAGATTTGAGCTAAAACAGTGGAATGTTTATCTATAAAACGCAATTGACTCGGCAATAAATGTTTTTAAATGCATTTTACATGCATTGAAAAATGGTTACCGGAGATCATTCGGCAAACGAATCGAATATAAACAACAAAACTCCGTCTCGAAATCTGATCTGATTGATGGTTATAATATCAAATGCCCAAACGTTGTTGTGATCATGTGTGTGCACACACACACATATATAAATCAAAACGGGACTCGAAATATATAAATGTTGTTCTTTTGACTTTGTGATCGGTGCGGTGGCCGGGCTCTCCGGTTAAATACGAAGAATTAATTTTCTAGCTGTGAATTTAGGTTGTTTATTTATGCCAACAGGCAAAAAGGAGAGCTCCACCAATATACACCGCTAAAGAAATATTCAATGAGACGTTGTTTAGATTAAAAAGAGTGAACGAGCATGTTGTTTGATATGTTGTATGGCTGTGCATTTTAGATGTGCGTGCGCTCGTGTTTATGTGTATGTGTGAAATGTGAGCGAGCTGGGTGAGCGCATTCGTTGTGTTCACGCGCGCTAAAATATACTATGAGTTTATAAGTATAAATTACACATAGAATATTTTGAAATCATATCGAATTTCGATGGTTGAAATTTCAAATACGCGAACCATTGTGCGCGCACTAAGCGAAAAAGAGTGCTTGGCGAGAATACAATCGCTCATATGAACCGGCCGAAGTAGCAGATAGAGAGAGCAGTGGCAGTGGCTGTACATCAAAGGCAGAGAGCAACAGCACCGATATGTCCATGGACATGCTGTTGCTGCTGCGTATATTCACTGTCTCTCTCACTCTATCTCGTATAATGTCTCGCGTTTCTTGGTATACAATTTCATGAGTACCATTGCCATTAGCAGCGAATTTTATTCTACTTTTTTGTTGTTGTTGTTGTCACTGCTGCTGCTTTGTATTATATTAAATTCACATAGCAACTTTTTTTTACTCATTTGTATTTCTTGCAATATATTTTGTTCTTTTGTTTGCGAGCTGGCTCTCTTTTCATCGTCTCATTTGAATAGAGAGAAAGGCGAACAAGAACTTTTTAATTTGATTCTATGTGCTTTTTATTTCTCTCTTTCTCTTTTTCGTTGGCTCCTTCGGTGTCTTTTTTTCTTTTCGCCGATAATTGCTGATAAATTTATTCATTTACGTTGCAAATATCGAATTGAAACCGGCGTTTTGAATTCTCTTCTAATGATCGCATCGTTTTCCATTTTCTTTTATTAATTTTTTGCCATTTTTCGCGCTTATTTTCAAGCATTAACATTTCATCGATTTATATCTATTGAATTAATGGACCACGTATAGACCACGTACACAACACGTATGAATTGATTATTGAATGAGCATACCAAGCGATATATTTATGTAGTGTAGAGTATTTTTTACAACGAAAAACGTGCAGGTCAATATAGACATTCTTCGTTTAGTATCGTTTTGATTTTTGCAATGAATGGGATATGCGTCAAATTCGTTTCCATTCATTCGGTTTATTTTGTTCGATGGCGAAACAACCGAAGAAAATATCAAAATATCGAATTTTTTTCATTTAACTCAGGACTGAACATGTAATTTGATATCAATATTAAATATGTTTTGTTTTTCTTGCGAATTTTCGATCGAATGTATATGCTGTGCATTCGGATTATTGTGTTCCTTTTTTTTAATCGTAAGTTTTGGTTACTGCGTTTCTCCTATCAATGAAATCGTAATGAATAATTTGCGGTTATATTTTATGCTTAATCAGATCCTGTTACATTCGAATGTGTGTAGCGTTAAAAGCGTATGTATGCATCGACGACGATCGGGTGCCACAACCGAAAAAAACGAGATATCATGGCCGTGTTCGTCGTACACACTCTCTTACATTTTTGAATAAAAACCATTCAGTTCTTGTACTCAATTTATGTTATATATACATATGTATTTCCTTTGATTTCAACAAACGAATGTTTATTTGATCTGTCCGGTTTTCGCTGGGTCATTTATTTATTTTGTTCTTCTTTCACTCACCAGTCGATCTCGGTGCCGATTTCAATTCGAATTAAAACAACAGTCTCTCGCTCAATTTAACAATGATAAATTTCGGCTCAGTTTTAAAATAAACTAAAGCAATCAATGAAGCCTCACTTCTTAATGCCTTGAACTTCTTAAAACGGCTGAAACTCACATTCGCGCTCATCATCTTGAAAATTATTTTGAATGTTCAATTGAATTCAAACTGACCATAAAAAACAACAACAGCAACAACGAAACTAAAATAACAACAATGATAAATATATGCGTAACATAACAGAGACCAAGTTCGAACGAATATGAAATGCAAACAATTTTCATGTTCACTGCTAAGTTTAACAGCGAATAAGTATTGAATTTCAATCTCGGCTTTCTTCGTCATCGCTCTCATTCTATGTTGTTGTATCTCACTTCTGCCATTCTTCGGATATGTATACGGTGTCGCATTCGAACAATAGCTCTTTTGGGCAAGCTCTCGGTTGGACGCTGAATTTGTGTTGATATTATAAATGCTATGAAACACTTCACAAGTGATGGCCGACCCATGTCGCGAATCTACATTTTAAAATCGCGGCACCGCATGCAATTATCTGCAACAATCGTATTCTTATATACATTTGAATTAAACAAAATCGAGAATTTCAATTCGAAAATCCAAGTGATTTCAAGGTGCTTTCGACACAGGACATCGAAATGTTTCTTCTTTTGTTTTCTTGTTGAAACCAAAGGCCAAAATCGAATTATTCTTTCTATCTCGTTCAGTCAGAGCAACATTTAATATTGACTTTGCCTAGATAACAAAATCTCTCTCTCTCTCTCGATGTATATGAAATTATATCTGTGCGAGCCGCGATTATTCCTGCTGTTTTGTTGTCTGTGTCATTTTTTGATTCGTCTCCTTTTACATTTTTGTTGCCATCAACGCCACTACCGCCGCCACTGATACACCGCATTCAGCGTGTGTATGTGTTTTTTTTCTCGTCATGTGAAATCGAATATATTGTAATATTAGCGTTTTATATCGTGTCTGATATTTGATACAGAGCATACGTGTAAAAAATGCGGTAAATATACGTTTTCAGAGTGCGAGATGTACCAGAGCAAATAATAATACAAATAAAACATGGAGTATATTTTTTTCGGTTTGTTTTTACTCTAGTGCTTGTTGCTTACTCTCTTTGTGATGCTATTGCCGATATGGGTATTGCTGCTGATTGTTGCACATTTTGCAAGTACATATTTATATTTTCCATATTTCACAGTTATTTGTATATTGTGTCGCATAAATGGCAACAAAACAAGCATTCTTCCTTTCTGCATTTCACTCTGTCACGCCTCTGTATGGTGTAAAGCAATAAATTCACTTGCATTTTGATTCTAAAAAGATGTATTTACGCACATGCAAAAACTGTTACAAAAGGAAATGCATATGTCTGACATAGAGAGAAAATGCATATGGTTCTGGGCCGCCACCACCTCTAATTGTGTGAATTAAATTTCAGCACGAAAATAGCGAATTCATCAATATCAATTTTATATCATGAATTATACAATTTTTTTAATCAGCCTCAAACACACATCGTCTATCGGTCGTACAACAATGTGCGAGGGAATGCACATTCTGCAAACAGAAATATGCGAGTCAATGAAATGGAATTCGGTTGATACTACCAAACAGTAATTCAATTTTAACTGCATCAAAATGCACGTGTGCAAACATCATGGCTATAGCATTTTCCCTTTGCTTCGACCGCACTTTATATCACTTGGATGTTGACACATCCAAATTGGCCAATTTTCCTCACATTTGAGTGAAAGCAATAAAAACTTTAAATAAAAAAGTTTTTCGACTTTCTCTGCTTGTGTGGGAAAAATGGTGAAATACATTTTAAAGAAAACCAAAAATATTCCAATGAATCCACCATTCTCTTGTGTCAAATTTATTATTGTATTGACAGTGGACTCAGTTTACTCGGTATTTTATTTACTGACGACTGCTCTTGTGTATTTGGATATTTTCAACGAAATGTAAACAGTTTGGATGGAAAATAAATTGGTAATCTTATTTAAATCGTCACAAATCATAAAGAAAACAACAATATAGAAAAAAAATACCCGCAAAACCGGTAATTTGATTCGTCAACATAAATCAATTTCGGATTAAATCAAATCGAGAGCATGAAAAATTTACATTTCGCGAATGTTTTACATAAACAACAATTCTAAATCGTGTCGGACAATTGATGTGCATAAGCTATATGTGTCAGCAATTAAAAGTCGGATCAAGGTGAAATCTTTTTCATGTTCTCAATGCAGTTTTTTTTAAATGTCATTGTCCGTCAGGATACAAAATACAAATTCGATTAACTTGGGCACTAAGCAAACGAAAATATCGTTGCGTTTTTTTTTTCTTTATTTTCATCTCCGTTCTTCACTCTTTCCTCACTCCACTATTTCGTACTTAAAATATAATGAGTTGCTGTAAACTGATCCATGAAATTGAATACAACGTGTTATATGAGACATTTAACAATATTCTTTTTCAGCTAAATTGAAAGAAAGCCAAAGCTATCTAGCTTGCATTACATATCACAGCAGGCTGTTTTAAAAGGCAGAAGGCGCTTCTTCTTTATCATATTATTAAACACGTTGTGCGCTCGTGTGCGTGCACTTTTACCAAATATTTTGTTGCGTAAATTTATAAATTGTTTATCCGTAAACGATTTTATGGGTAAATTACTTTTTAAAAAGTCACCTAAAATAAGGTGTGGGAGTTCTGCGAATTTTTGCTCTTTTCAACTCATTCTCTTTCTTCTTTCGAACATTTCTTGTTCCGGTGTGGACACAGCAATCTCTAAAACAAAAACGAAAAACAAAAAATTCGAAATCAAACAAAATGTATGCGACCATTAAAATTTATCACTGTTAAAACATTGAACATTTCCGCTCGAAATCGAGAAGAGTTGATTCTACACTATGTGAATGAACAAAAAAAAAATTGATTTATTCTAAGACCAAAAAAAATCTGATATAAAGTCCATTTTGTGTGTATTCATGTATATTGAATACGTGAAGGTGAACACGGGAATTTTGTACATTTCGATTCATTCCATACATATCGAATCGTTTAAATCCTTTTTTAAGGCTAAACGGATACTTTTCAAGATTAAATTACAACCCGTATGCATTTCAAAATCATTAAAACTCGCTTTTTTCACACCGGAAACAAATGTGAATGTGAAAATTTGAAAATAAAATTAAAAATTTCAGAACGACTGACAAAAGAGCGTTTTTTCTTCAATGAAATTGAAATAAAGGGGAAAAATCTTTTCGTTTGACTACATTCGAATGTTATTTGTTCATTTTTCTCATTGTTTTCTTCTTCTTTTTTTCAAAAGAATTACCTGTTTAAAATGGGAAGAAAAAAAGAGCCTGAGTATGCGCCGAAAACAACAACAAAAAACCGATTGAATTCATTTTTGGGGTTCTCATAAAAGTGTTACCGAAATCACAGTGTCAGTTGACATTTTCCATGTAATGATCATGTTTCAATTGCAAGACGTCATCTGAAATTGCTCTTCGACACTTTGTTCAAATATCATTTTCAATGGAAGTGAGAAGTGCTTTAATTAGAATTGAATCTCGAATTTGTATACCCATTCTCTTTAAAGAGCAAATTTGATAAAAGCACCCAACCGTACGGCAACGGTATTCGTGATAAGAGCGACGAAAAAAAAGGATCGACTCGGCACTGACAAATTAAACCGAATTTGACACGAACGTACCATCCAAAATCGAATAAAGTTTTACTAAAAAAAACGATGATAAAAAAGATGGTAAAGAGGCAGTTTGTTGCATAAAAAAACACACATTGCAAACACATGTACGTGCACAGTAAAGTTAATTGTCTAATATTTCAAAGTGAACGAACGATCGATTCTCGGAAGGAAGGCACCGACGAGAACAATGAGCATAAAAAAACGAGTTCGCAAAAAACATGCGGATATTGAATTTTCTATATATACACGTTGAAACCATTTGGCACTACTTTAATCCATCTATCGATATCACACATTGGCACAAGCTAAGTTTCTTTTTATTTGCGAAATAAAAAAGATTTCTTCTTACGAAACTAATTTACTATATCATTCAAACAAGTTAAAAAACATATTATATTTTGCCATTTTTGACATGCACATGTTCAACGGCATGAGCATCGTCATCAAATTTACCATGTTGGAGCGAATGCATGCAGATAACAAACACAGGCCAAAAAAAACGTGTGACATTTTATATTTTTTTTAGTATTTAGTTCGAACGTTTTTTTTTTCTTTTAATTTGAAACGTGCATTCCATTTAGTTTTCACCATCAAATAAAATGACGTGCAACAACAACAACTTTTTAATTATACCTATTTTTTGGTTCAACATAGCTACTAGTAATAGTTGAAACAAACAAAAAAAAGTCGTTCATCAATAGTGTGTGTGGGTTAAGTTAGTGCATGAGTACTTGCAACGTCAAACGAACGTTATCGAGAACACACATATGATGATGATGGTTTTTCCAAAAATACTGTGCAGACAAAAAACATCAAATTTCGCTATACGAACGCTTTTTCGAAACGGAAAATGATTCTTGTACATATGCGGTACAAAGTTCTAAACAATCTCAATTTACATCAACCGATATGTACTCATATGTCGCTTCAATATTACAATATTTGGCAATTGCTACTCGGTGTGTTATTGCTGTTGCTGTCGAAGCTATTATGCGCTTATGTTACGTGTCGTGTATTCAACAGATTTGATTTCTTCTGCATATGACAAAGTATGTTTAGATCTTTTTGAAATTGAAGAAAGAAGAGGAGAGAAAATAAAATTTTGTAAGAGAAGGAGAAAGACAGAAAAGGGCAGGGTATGTGAGGTAAAGATAACCGAAAACGTTTTATCTTCATATGGTCTCCGATTGCAGTAAATTCATTTTCACGAGCTGGAGTGCGTGTGTGTGCATGAGATAGAGGTATATAAGGAAAATCACATTAGGTTTTCCAAACAAATGTGAACCATGAAATCGTATATCTTGCATAGTTTTTTTTCTTTCGTTTCCGGGCTTCTTTCGGAAACGGAAAATGCACATTTGCATCACATAAAGGTTATCCAGAGTCATTTAATATTTACGTAACGGAATAACAAAAACAACCAATTGAAAATCCATGTGTGTTATTTATTATAATTTCCAAATAAATGAGCTACGATTCAGCGACTATGGCAAAAAAGATGCGAGAAAAAAAAGCGAATAAATAAAGTTTCTTTAGTGAGGCATTGATAAACTATGACGTGATCGAAAATGATATTCTAGCTTTTTGAAGCTCATCAGGTTTACAAAGTATATTAGCAGCAGCATCAAAATCTGTGTTTTTGCAAAATCTACACCCCAAAACTCCTCTGTGTATATGTTTACGTAATTCTAACTTTTAAAATTTCAACGTTCTCAAATTCAATTTGTATGAAAGGAACACCAGATTTGCATTGAATTTCATTGCATATGTTTTCACATGTGCATTGCACATTCACGAGTTTATGCCATTGCTTCTTTGTTGTAACTACAATATTTTGTTTGTGTAATTTCTAACCTCTACATACATTTTTGTTCTCTTTTGTTGTTTGATATCTCTCTCTCTCTCTGCCTCAGTTTAATTTTTCTCTTGCGTACAATACTTTACACATGGTTAAAACAACATGGTCCACAATGATATGGAAAAAGTTACTTTAAAAGAAAACATGGTGAACCTGATAAATGTAATGCACTCATTTCTATTCGTTAATTATTGATTCGTTTCCTTTGCTTTATCTGAAAATAAAATTGAATTAAGTTTAAAAGTAGTCATTGATAATCCGTGCGGCCGAACATTGAAACATAATTCTCATGAATCGATAAAAACGCGGTCAAAGCAAACGGTTCAAAGTAAAGAAGCCAACTCAAGCGCTGAATGTATTATGACGGTAATCTAACTGTGAAATGAACGATGAAATGAACTAGCTAATTTTGGCAAAATATGTTTGTTCGTAAAAAATTTCCGCTGATATTTAACGCCAGATGTTTCCATTTCTCTCATATGTAGTCTTATACTTGAGTAATTTCCAGAGAAATCAGAAATATACTTGAATCTGCCTAGCAACAGTGGCCGAATTTCATGTAAATTTTAATTTTTTGCACTTATTACTGGCTGTTCGATTGAAAATGAAGAAAATGACCACTTGACGTTTCGTTGTTGTTTCGTCTTTTTTTGTGGGAATCAAACAAAATGCCAAATCGAGTTTAGCATAATATCAAATATCTACCGATCGATGTTTCGATTGTTCCAATTCAATGTGTACAACAGTTGTTGTTTGCTTGCACTCATTTGCAATGAATAACGGCGCTTATATGCGAGTACGATATTTCGCGACACTATTATCCGCTCGCCATTTTCACATCAAGCGAACAAGTGACAGAGAAAAGAGAGAGAGAAAGGGAAAAAGAATCGGAGCAAACTGTTTACAAATGCATTATTCTGCACTTTTTGTGTATGTTTTTGAAGTATAATTAAAAAGAAAAACCGTTCGTATTGAACAAGTCGAATAATCTTCAATTAGTTGATTTTTTAGTCGAAGGCGACGGCGGCTGCCTCTCAACGCCTCAATATTCTCAATTTCATTTTTCGTTCCGCATGGGCATTTTATGCTTATGACAAATGATGTCACTGCATTTAACTGCTCGTTGCAAACCGTTTAACTTAAAGTGCGTTTTAATTTCGATTTTCTGCGTAATATGTGAGTCATTTGTTCATTTCTTCATCTTCTAAGTAAACATTTGTATCACTCTTTTTTTCATTTGAAATTTAATCATGCGATGCTGAATTCTGTTTCCAATTAATGCAAACAATGATTCGAAGAATTTCGGTTCCTTAATTGTACGAGAAAAAAATTTATTTATTGAAAACTTGTCGCCAGTTAAATGGAAAATGAAATCGATAAAAATTCGAATTGATCAGCAAAAATCCCGCGCGACCATCGACTTTTATTGGATAAAACAATTTCGCTTAATATGCGCGTTGAAAAAAACAAAATAACAACCACATTAATGAAAATGTAATTAAATTCTTGCTTGGTTCTTTTTCGTCTAGGAATACGCTGAATCAGCGATGAATGAGCTGCTCGGCTGGTATGGATACAACAGTAATAGTAACAACGACCAATCAACTGAACGATTCAATAGTTTAACAAACACCAGAATGTCAACACCCAATTTTGCACAATGTTTATCGCAGTCAACGACTGGTGGTGGTAGTGGCGGTGCTAGTGCATGTCTCGTTAAAAATGGAAAACTAACGAAAAGCCTATCGATGGACGATATCGATGATACAACCGATAGCATGTCGGCTGTTGATGAGCTGGCAAAGATGTCACCGCAAATGAATAAAGACGGTGTTACAACAGCAATAACCGATATCACCTCTGAAAAGTCACCGCTCAGGTCACACACACAATACTCAGGTTTGTTATCACTTTATGCTGTATTTTTATTTTCTCTACCCACTACCTCCCCCCATCGCTCTCGTTCTCTTTCTGATGTATTTTTAATCCCAGATAAAATTACATTTTGTTCGGGAAAAGATATCGAATTAAAAGGAATATGTATATCCAATTTGATGCAAAAGGAAACTCATTATAAATTCCAAGTAGAAGAGAGAGAGAGAGAGAGAGAGAGAGAGAGAAATTCACTATTACAATAATCGAATATGATTGAAGCAAAAGCTGAATGCCAATGTTTGAGTTTCAAATATAGAAACTCTTTCGTAGATAAGAAACAAAAACTAGAAAAACGAGAAGAAGAAGAATGTTGCAATGTGATGTATTAAAAACCAAGTCAATTTTCATTGAAACTCGATTGATAATTAAATTTTGTGAAATTAAATATAGAAACTTCGGTTTCGGAATAAATTTCCGAACTAAAAACAATATTGAATGACATTCGATGAAAATATATTACCTTACAAATTTTATATTTGCAACTACTATGTGCGATTTCATGGATATTTGATCCATTTTTCCAAAGCTGATATTTAGAACATCAAATGTCTGTCTGCAACAAAATAATCACTACTTATTGTTCATTTTATTTTTCTACCATTTTCCAATTTTCTATAGATGAATGTGGCTGGTGTAAGCGAGTTATACCAATTGGTTCATCCGAATTTTCGGCAACATCGGAAGGATTGAAATTCTGTTCGGAATCATGTTTCTCGCAAAGTCGTCGATCGGCATACAAACAGAAAAAGACTTGTGATTGGTGTAAACATATTCGTCATGCAGTTAGCTATGTGGATTTTCAAGATGGTGCATCACAACTACAATTTTGCTCCGATAAATGTTTGAATCAATATAAAATGCAAATTTTTTGCAAAGAAACACAAGCCCATTTGGATTTAAATCCACATTTAAAGGATACCGCCAAATCATCGAATGAAAATTTAATTACACCCGAACTCTGGATGCGAAATTGTCGAAGTCGGTCATTGACACCGGATCAAAGATCAAATGATTCTCGAACAACAACCGAATCACCCATTACAATAACGGTGGCCAGCACTAATACAGTGCCTACGATAAAAGTAGCGCCCGCATCAAAGTTACTATTGTGCGATCGCGATACGATAAAACGACAATCACGAGATGAATCAACAACCGAATTGAAAAACTATTCACATTTTACGACGCAAAAAACACGAACGCTACGAAAACGTCGTACAAATCAACGACTCAGCTCAAATTCAAGCAGTATTATTTCAAATCTATCGGAAAATACAAACAATAATGATAACAACAATGAAAATCGAAACATACATGCAAAACTGCATCATTCGTCACCGATTGAGAAAAATCGCATAAATAATTTGTTGCAACCGTCGATGATGTCAAGTATGCCTGCTGTTTCAAATATTTCACCGTCATCTTTGGCAACAGTGAAAAATCCACAGATTGATGATCCAAGTGCAACCGCATTTTTGCAACGTTATCAATTAATGTCACAACAAGGACCACCGCCGCCGCCGCCACCTACCAATTTTATTACAATGTCCGAAAATCGATCATTACAAAATGCACTTCGACAATCGGCACCATTTATTGCACCATTAATTTCGAATCATGGTTATCCGGATGGTGGTCATCATTTATCGCCGCATTCATATCCAACTGAACCAATGCAAATTCCGTTGACAAAATTATTACCAATGCAACCACAGCGACAACAACGCGTCGAACCGTCATCTACTTCTGGCACCGGTCGAAAGCCGGCTTTTGTAACCGAACATAATCCCATTTATTTTATGCAACAACATCAAAAATCACAAGCTCTCAATGATTTTGTAAGCCATGTATTTGGAACGGTAACGCCACCATCAACAATTTTAATGCCATATCCTGTTATTTTGCCCATACCGATACCGTTGCCAATTGAAGCATTTTTAAAAGTTGCCGAATTAAGAAAGTTGCCAAATGATAAGCCAAATTCGAACGGACAACAGGATCATCGACACAGCCATAGCTGTACGAATGACGAAGAAAGCCATGATATTAAAGCGAATTCAAATGATCAACCGCTCGATTTTACAAAAGATACCATTCGCAATGAAGAATTTAAATTGACCGACGATGAATCGGACAATGAAGATGCAAACGCAACATCAAGTGCAAACAAAAATGATGCTGGTGGCAAAGGTGACACAATGAACAAATTTCGAGTGTGTCAACAATCTATAAAACGTGCTGGTACATTTACCAAAGACCAAAAATCCGAGAATAATCGACCATTGCGTAAACGAAAGCGAATCATTGACTGCGATTACATGCGATTGAAAGATGTTAATTGTAATTCAACATCAAACGATTCAAAAAAATCCATTCAAAATTGAACGAATATTTAGAATATAATCATTATCTCATTGTAGGGTTGCTAAACACAATTATTTGAATTTTATATTAACTTTAAAGAAAACAAAATTATGTTCAATGTAAAACAATGAAAATAAATGGGCGAAAGAAGAACAAACACTATAAATTTAAGTTGAATATTGGGATTTAATCCAGAGTTCGAAAAACCATATATTTTCTATCGGTTATAATTTTGATTGCTCTTTTTCAATCTTTATTTTTTTGAAGTAAAATGTTTTTCTTTTGTAGTTTGATTCGATTGGATTTGTACATACAAAAAAGTAATAAACAAATTAAAGATTCTTTAATAATTTTCCAAATCTGAGATTTCTCTCAAATTCAACAAAAATATTTTCTTTTTCTAAATTCATGTTCATTTGAATTGTTTAAATAGGGGTTTCAGTCATTGTTTTATGAGTTTGAATTGTCATTATTTTGTGTCTCATATTAAAAAAACAAAACAAAATACAGAAAAATTTGGTGTCACCATTGCAACAGATTGTTTATTATTAATGATTTTTTTCTTTTTCGTTCATAAATTTTATATTTTTGAATAACTGCCGATACAGTTTGCATAATTTTTAATTTTTCAATTGGACTAGGAAAAAAGAGTTTGTGTGTGTGTGTGTATGTTTGTGGACTCCACCAAAGTGTGTTGAGATATTATTGTAGCACGCCAATCGTTTGCCATTAATTTAAGTTGTGTCGATAGGTAAAATCGAAGATGGGTTTTTTCTGCGTACGTTCGTTCAATTATTGTACAGATTCCACAATGAGATGACACCATCGTTGCCGGCGCATGCCATAATTGGTGATTTCCACAGATCACATTTTCCGGGTGAATAGACAATGTCATTGACAGCAGCTCGATGTTCTGTTAAAACGGTAAGTGGTCGTAGACTTTTCCATGAAAATACTCGAATACGTCCATCGGTACCGCCCGTACTAAATACCTTTTGATCTTTTCGTATGCGTACACAATTGATGCCAGCATTTTTGATGCTGATATCACCGCGATTTATCAATTTCATATCGGTACGTTGATATCCAAAGATACCAAGCTTATCGCTTGTATTACCGTAAATGCCACGATTCGCTTCGGCACAAAAGTCAAATGCAATCGGACACTCTTCGAATTGTGCGACATTAATAACGTTGCCGGTTCGCAAATCCCATGTTAAAAAACATCCCGATTCATAGCCGGCCAATAGGTACGATTGACTGGAAATTGTAAGTGGTTGTACGCACATTACACTGCCCAATTGTTGTATTGCTGTTGTTGTGGCTCCTCTACCGCCTCCGTCGACGCTTGGTGGCTCCTTTCTCTCGTCTAGAATGGCTTTTGGATTAAGTATCATTGTCTGATCATTATCATCAACATCATGATTCAATTTGCTAACACAAATTTCGTTATCGTTTTTGGGGTAATAGATGCGTGCATCGTCATCAGTAACAAACCGGCAAAAACCATTGTGCATTATGTCATTGGTTGAATCGAGTACATAACCAGCGTTTGCAATATGCCATCGTTTAAGTATGCCACCTTTTTGTTGTGTTACCAACGTTTCTTCACCATGATAAATTGATGTCACCGGCTCATTACCGCCAATTGAAAAATGCAACGGCGATCGACACGTCTACATAAAAACAAAACCAAAACAAAAAAAGATTTTTTCAAATGAGGTCAAACATTGATTTGTTTTGTTCGTGCTTTTTTTTATATTTCCAGTTTTTAAGTGGACTTTCTCTCTAATGCAATAAAATTGTCAAATTGCAATAAAGTCAATCGAATGAGAAAAAAAAGAGCGAAAAAATACCTGCATATCCCAGAGATAAACAGCACCTTTGGCTGTACCGCTAAACAGTCGTTCGGTGCTGTGAAAACATATGCAATTTACAGCACCCATATCACTTGAACGCATTGAGAATACCGGGTCCGGTGGAAGCACAGCCATCGTTATTATAAATTCTCTTACTATATGTTGTACCAATTAAATGAAAAACAAAAATATAATACCACCACAACAATTCAACCAAAATGTAATTTCTTTATAGTAATTGAATTCGAATGTGAGTCCGGAGTTGTTGTCGTTATTGTTGTTGGTGTTGTTGTTGGTGTTGTTGTTGGTGTTGTTGTTGTTAATTTTCTTCTTCTTCTTTTGTTGCGTAGTTTGTTTGTTTGCTACAGTGTTGTTGTTCGTCTTCGTCGTTTCAATTTTCTTCCATGTCACTTACTTCAAAAATGGTTTCCAATGGTTGTGTGCAGAAAAAAAAATTACCGCTAGCACTCAATCGTTTGTGTTCGATGAATCGATTCTCTCGATTTTTCGATTTTAATGCCAATAGATTTAATTGGATTACCACCATTTGATGAATTCGATTGGAGATCGAATTAAGGTCGACATAAACGTTCAGCCACACCACCGCATAAAATGATAAAACGGAGACGAAATTTTCGTCAACTTGGATTTTATTTGTTGTGTATGTGGTTCGTATATAAAACGAAAAACTAAATGAAATTCAAAACAAAAATTGGCCCAACCAAAAAACTTAAAGCATCTAGTGTTGATGAGAGAAAGGAGCTCACTAGAACACGCACCAATCGCACACAAATATGAATGCAAACCGAAGAAAATAAACACAAAACACATACACTCATACGGACAGCGAGCGAGCGATAGGGACAGAGAGAAATGTACGCATTTTCTATCGCAACATACACACGCTCTCGCCATTTATATCAGTGGAGTTCAAATCGAAACAGCTGGTCGCGAATTTGCTGTTGTATGAATTCTTGCGACGTTTACACAATTTCGTATGTGTTTGCGCGGAACAAGTGAAATGCGATAGTGTGTGTGTGTATATAGCAGTTTTTTGACAGCTATTCACAGATTTTGTGGCGTCTCCACTCTTCCAGCACTCTTATGAGTTCTGCAAGAATTTTTGAAACAAAATAGACGATGAATAAAAATGCAACGGTGTTTGTGGTTGTCTCTTTCAAACAAAAATTATGTTTTAATACAAAATAGGATGTTTGCAGAACTATAATTTATTTTCTGTCGCTTGCTCATTGACTATATTCTATAGCATTTTTTGTTGTTAAACATTAAATTTGTAATAATTATTTTTATTTAATTTTCATATATTTTTGGTTTGTTTTTGTCCTCATAAAAATAATATCTTTCGAACTGCCAGAATTTAAAATTGTCATTTTGTTGTGTGTTTTTGAATAAATTTGCCAGAAGAAATTTTTTTTCCAAATATTTTTTTTTTATTTGCTAATCAAAACAATTGATTGTAATTTAATTTCGTTTCTAATTCGGACCATAAGCACACTCTATATCATTTTTTTATTATTAAACTTCAACTAGTTATATTCCAATAAATCTGTCTGTTTCATTTTTATAATCAGACTGAACAAGTTCATTAACGTCAAATGACGATTTAAATTAATTTCAATAAAATAATCTATTGTTTTAGCCATATTCGATGAAAATAAAGATGAAAGAAAAAAGAAACTGTTTTTTTGCCATGTTTTTTTTCGTTTTTGGCATAAAACGGAGAAAATTATAATTTATAATCTTATTTTGTTTTCTTCAAAAAGTTTGTTTTCTTGTTTATTTGACTTAAAAACACTTTTTGCTTTATTTTCATACGATCGTATAAAAATACAATTTCGTACTGGCCATTTAATTATACAGTCTTGCAGCATACGCGCTAAACAGTTCTAATATCAAACTTGAAATCTTTATCTCTCGCGATTTCTCACATTCACACTGACTCACATGCGCGCTTTCATTCGTTATCCTTAATTACGTATTAAACCACCTATATCATTATAAAATGCACGAAATAAGAGCGAAATGTATCGTGATTTAAAAAATAAAACGATAACTAACGAACAATAGATATAAATATGAGCTATGGAATTTTGATAACACTGCCTTCAATGAAGGAGGAACAATGCCAAGTGATTTTTAGAAATTAAAAACAAACTGACTTGAAATTTTATTTGTTTGAGATGTTGTGCAACGCAAAACATGCGTAAATGGATAATTCAAAGTCTACAATTCGAAAAGATTCGATTACCGTTTTGATGTAACTGAATCTCATTGAATGTCATACTTTTTGTGTCATCATTTCCGAAAATAGTGTGTATTTTTTTTGTCATTTGCATTTTTTCACTTAAATCTAGTGTTCTGTTTGATCGATTGTTTTAAATCGAAATTTATATTTTTCTCAATTTTTGGTTTTGCCTATGTATGTTGTTTGTTTGAACCATTGAATAAATAAAATATACACAATGTTTTATGTTCACATTATTACAATTATTTACATTTCATTTCTTCTTTTTCTCGCCGGTGCGACTATGTGCCAAATACAAAACGAACAAAATCAAATGTTTTTGATTCATATTAAAGAGATGAATAAAAAGAAAGAAAACTTGAAAAATTAATGTTAAAATCAAAATGAAAATCATTGTTTATCAATTAAACGAGACAATCCAAAACACATATGTATAGACTGGAGGGTGTTGAAAAATTAAAATTAATTCAATCGAATAAAAATTGAACAAAACATCCTTATTAGAAAAGTGTCGGAGATATTTTAACGTTTATTATTTTTGTTTTTGGTTTTCTTTTAAATTCTTTTCACGAACAATACCTTCATTTTTGTGTTTTAAGTCTATTTAATAGACGTGTGTTTTTTTTTTTTAAATCCATGGCATACATAAATGTTGTTGCTTTCATTCTTGTCACCAATAAAACTAGTGCTCTCATATATATTATAATATTAGCATCACATCATTTTCAATATAATAATCATAATAATTAATACATATAAGTTAGTAGAGTAAATCGGTTGCTTCATTTTTTTGTATTGTTATTCAGGTGAATTATGGAAATCGAATATGAGCTACTGCTGTTGCGCTGTTGTTGTTTTTATTTTTAATTTTATTTTTGTACAATATCGGATTTCTGTTAATCGTAATCAATAACAGTGTATGATTGATATTACTTTTTTTTTTCACATGTATTGAACGGAAAAATCGCAATGACTGAATAAAAAAAAGTTTCTTCGTTACCGTTTCATATACGAAACTCGACTATTTTTTTTAATTTAAAAACTTGTTATGGCGGTGCATTTGCAATTTGTTTTTAAATATATGGCTTATTTAAATTGGCTATCAACTTAAAACCGAAGGGAAAAAAACGTTCAATTCACCCGCGCTCATGAAGAAAAATCTCAACTAGCACGCGCACTGTGTATACAATTCATTGCTTGGAGTTCATATTTTAATTGAATTGTTTTTTTCTTGGTTGTTGTTCAAAAAAGAAATAACAAATTTTTTTTTTAAGGTGGAGGGGAAACTTTCCTTTCGAGTACAAACAAGAATAAGATTGATTTCATATTCAGTCCATGGCTCTGCAGTAATTTTATTTCTATCTTTCTCGATGAGATTGAAGTCATTCAATTTTTGATCGAAGTACACATCAATTTGAATGAAAATTGATTGATTTTGCAAATTTTCCGCCACCTAGCAATTACTTTCATAATTTTCATATGAATTTTGGTTTGTTGTTAAGTTTATATATCCTGTGCTGTCCTGTGCTTAAAATTAATTTTATATTTATTGAACAAATAACACTAATACAAAAAATATATTCAATGGCACCTGCTGTTTACTTGAGTTTACGTATCTCAGCTCCGATGTT